CTTTTGCTTAACATACGATAGACGATGATCAGTGTCAAGATAAGAGATGAGAATAAGGTGTGATAATATAGTGATAATATCGTGCTTATGTAGACACGAGCATGTCCGTAATCGTGCCGGAGGACGGGAGCGCGTCTGTTGGTCTCACGCAGCCCTGGTTCGAACCACAGACTATCACGGTCTTAAATAAGAGTCAGATATTCTATCAAATTTAAAGGAAAATGTAAAAAGTTTACCTTCTTTAGATACGCTTTTCTCTGAATGTTACTGTTAAACTGTACCTATATTTAGTAACGATGTGAGGCTATATTTATCGATTACTCGTAAGGACTACATATAGCATTTACCGTTCAACCATGCAGGTGTTCACTCATCAACATCACGTGACATTTACACTGACACCCTCGACAACACCCGAGTCAGGTGACACTGACTGTGTTGTTCATTAGCCGGACATGCGTCTCCACCTGTACCAGCGCAACCCTACGGGCTCCTACTCGCAGACAACTCACAAGCACAGTTACTGACACATGATATAAACCTAGCTGGACTGACAACACCAAATAAACTTACTCACTCAAAACCTTTTACCTGAAGTTTGTAGCTCCCTGACAAGTTTAAAATGAAAGTTCGGGATTTTCCCCAGTTATATTTATAGTAAGACAGCGTAACTGGCACAATGTGGCAAATGCGCGTTCGCGATGGTCTAGTTAGACAGGAACCTAGTCCTATCAGAAGGAACGTTGCTTTCGTTTCTTATTTAGGTTCAGTTTGAGTGTAACATGACGCTAAAAACCGTGGTTTGACTTTTCCGGTAAAGTACCGTACAATACAATGTGGCATATTGTTGTTTGTGACGTAGGTGGGTATGTTAAATATGCAGGCGTATGTACCAAAACAGGTAACTTAATTTAGAGTGACTGAGGGGTGGATGAGTGAGTGAGTGAGTGAGTTGGGTTCAACGCCACTTTGAACAATATTCCTGTTATATGAGGATAACTGATATATAGGGAAAGCCCGTATTGATGCTGGTCTCAGGTGTCTGTTGAAACCCACCAGCATGGGTATATCGCGCTCTCAAGTCTACACACATATTCGGAGTAAACCCGGATTCGAACCCAGGTCCATGGGGTTTTGGCGTACACAAGGGACGCAACTCTGCACGACTAATTGCGGAAAGGTCTTTGGGAAAAAACAAACCATTCTTGTGAGGTCACGAACAGCGTATGTACGCCGTGTCGTCTCGGTGGAGCAGGCCTATACATCTACAGTTCACATTCGAAGTATCATTTTCTCAAGAATCTCAGGTTAACCTGTGGTTAATAACGACTCCTGACTCTTTAGTAGGGTGTTCTTGTAATGGAAATTCGTTGCCGAAATACTGATATACCGGAATTGCGTTTCACTGTACGCAGTGATAATTTTGGTATTACGGGATTCCAAATGACTGAGATTGGGTAAGTTCGATGTTAGGTATCCAGCTTCTGCCCGAGATGGAGAGATCAGAAATGTAAAACACGTTCTTTGTTAAGAGATACTTCCCGCACCTGAAGGGATAACGCCATATCTAACGTGCAATGTCATGTCTCAATGTATAACGTCATATTGAAAGTAGTATGTCATGTGTTAAGGTATAATGTCATGTTTGAAGTATTTTTATGGCACGTCTTAAAGTACTGTCGGAAATAGAAAAAACAATGTTTTTAGGCTATTACTCTGTATCCCTAACATTTACACAGTTGCAAATGGCATATGTCGAAATAACCCACTTGGCGTTCAGTGGGATATTAATAGGATATCTAGAAAAGTATGTTTACTCGTAAAATCGGGCAATACTTAGAAAAAATACGAATAGCCGCTGAAAACAATAGATCAGTCTATAGATGGCAATTAGGTCGCTCAGCCAGGTATGACGACGGATCGTCGATTCCTCTGGCATGAAATGCACTTGCTGCCTTCAGGCGCAAGGGATCATCTCAAAGATATTTTATGCTTTTTCATATGTGTTGAATATGTTTCATCTATTGTTTGACATTTTATGTGGGTTTTCATAAAGTTTATGTTGAGATATGTAAAAGAGTATGATACCCATAGCAAAGCTTAAATCAGCCATCGTATTAAATGTCTCAAAATGTGTAAGTGACATGACCATCCGAAGATCTACAAGACTCGATATTATTTGTAAATTGTATGACATACCGTTTGTTTCCCCAATTTAATTCCCCTAAAGGATTATCTTGTCTTAACTGATATCTCTGTTCACCCGCCCGACCCCATCCACAGCCTGCGACGCCCGTCCTGGTTTTGCTTTTGAGACGACCACTCCTACCTGTTTGTTCTTATAGTGATAGTGAGACTCCATGGTAGCTACATCCTTAATAATTTCAGTATTAAAGTTATAATTTTTTACGTCAGCTATCGTTTATAATGAAGCTAAGTCTAGCTGCAAAATGGGCATTTAAAAATTGTCTTTTGTAATACAATATCAGCGCACATTAATCTGCATAAAGCCATGGTCTGTTCCCAATTTGTCGCTTTGGACTCGCATTGCTCATTTCTGCACTAATCTCTCCTCAGTAAAGTCCTTTTGTGACGTTTCCTATGTCCCTACCACTGAGACTGTAGTTAGGCTGAACTTTGTTCAACAGATATTTCACACTTTCACATATTAATTGCATAAATTGTGGACATGAATGTGAAAAAAGGGTTTTTTTCTATTTCCGACAGTACTTTAGCGCATAATGTTCTGTCTGAACTATTTGTCTCAAGCACACCATGCATGCCGTGCGATGCAGTGGAATTCAGATACGATACATCAAGTGTTTGGGACTACATTGTGTCTGAAGTGTGATATATTACAGATTACTAGGATAAGTTGAAATACACACACGCACACATGCAAAGGTACACATGTAGACATTATCAGTAATGAATATTGATACACGCTTAGAACTGTCGTCATTACTGGTATTTATTGTGACGTCATAAATCATAACTTCGTATAAGATATGTACTGTCAGTTACCTCCAAATTGGCATTTTACAACAAAAATATTTTGAGCGCATGAAATTATGTGAACTTCGTATGAAGTTTTAAAATCGTATTGAATCATAATCCTACTAACGGCCTGTGAGTACTGTTTTTACGATAGCGTACTGGGCAATATTACACAATTAAATGTACAGTCTGTTTTCATTCTACGTCCATCACTGCTGTTATAAATGTACAGTCTGTTTTCATTCTACGTCCATCACTGCTGTTATAAATGTACAGTCTGTTTTCATTCTACGTCCATCACTGCTGTTATAAATGTACAGTCTGTTTTCATTCTACGTCCATCACTGCTGTTATAAATGTACAGTCTGTTTTCACTCTACGTCCATCACTGCTGTTATAAATGTACAGTCTGTTTTCATTCTACGTCCATCACTGCTGTTATAAATGCTAAATATCTCTTACATAAAACAAACAAAATAACAGAAACAAAATACGTTGCCGAATAAACCCATTCGTTCCAACAGGAATATCTTAAATACTAGTAGTCTAGAGCTCACTGGTTCCAAGCTGGCGCAATCGCATTCAGCGTGAAATGACTAGGGGACGGTAGCGCTACCTATCGGGGAAACCCCGCTCTATAAATAGCACTTCCGGATCTCCACAAGATGGAAGCCACGAAGCATCTACCACATTATCTGATGTTCTAAACCTGTTCCGTAATATTTCAGGGGTTTCATTTTCAGCTAGCATTGGTGATTTTCATAAACACCACCAATTTTTAGTAAACGTTGCTTGTTTGTTCTGTTTACTGGAGAAAAATATCCCAACATGTCATATTTTCCAAATGAATCATCTCATCTGATCGAACACGGTTCATATTACATTGTTTAATATGTGCATTAACTAAAGTCGTTCCAAGGACGTTGATGAAGTATTATAGCATACTTAGTATGTCAGTAGTAGGGGCAACTTTACTAAACGTGTGACGCCGTGAGGAACAGGATGAAAAAACCCATTAACTTTGTAATTTAAAACCAAATCAATTGTTAAAATGATTTCTACTGCATTGTTTATTTTTGGTTTATTCTATTGTAAACACAAGCGATCTTCGGGATGTTTATCATATCTGGCAAGCTGTACTATCCTTCTACCGTAGATGAAGTCTCAAGAGCAAAAATAGTGTGTTTAAATGTAAATTTTGGGATGAAAGTTAATAGATATGATTCTTTCCTGTTACAATATTTTTAATTATTTGCAATAAGTGCAGAATTTGACTGACAGGTCTACAAAATGTTATAAAATCGGTTTGGACTAAAATGAAAGACTCCTTAAATGTGACCTGACACTTAAATCTTGACATAGGTTATAATGGTAACTAATCCACATTTTTCGCAGTTATTTCTGGATACTTGATGAATCAGGAACACTGAAGATGTAGACGTTCCTAGCAACTTCCCCCGCCATGTTGCCAGAAACAACAACACCAAAGCAGCCGTTCCAGCTTATTCTCTTCTTTTGTTTCCTGTTTGTTGCGACAAACTTCGTGAACAAAGTGAGTTGAGTTTCAGCATGTTCTAGGTATATGTTGATGGATTGATAAGGTTGTTCCAGGGCTGTTGTTTCTTCCTATCGATCTACAACAGGCTTCAACCAAATATGCTAGATGACCACCTGGTCCTATTAATCTCCTCTTGTGACAAGCATGGGTGACTCACGTCTACTCTAGGGCAGCCACAAGTGGTTTGGTGACCACTGTATCAGTTCAGTTGCACCGTGTGGTAAAGTTTCATGAGGAATAAACCCCTGATATGATCGATTTGTAATTTATTTGAGTTTTGATTATAGTGAGTGAGTATTGTTTTATGTCGCTTTTAGCAACATTCCAGCAATATTATGGTGGGGACAGCAGCAATGGGTACACATTGTACCAGTAACTAAAGGAATCACAACTGGGCCGGCCATCTGGAGACTCTGCTGTCCACAGTCAGGAGGTAGGTACACATATGCAGATCCTCATGGTCACCGGCCATCTGGAGACTCTGCTGTCCACAGTCAGGAGGTAGGTACACATATGCAGATCCTCATGGTCACCGGCCATCTGGAGACTCTGCTGTCCACAGTCAGGAGGTAGGTACACATATGCAGATCCTCATGGTCACCGGCCATCTGGAGACTCTGCTGTCCACAGTCAGGAGGTAGGTACACATATGCAGATCCTCATGGTCACCGGCCATCTGGAGACTCTGCTGTCCACAGTCAGGAGGTAGGTACACATATGCAGATCCTCATGGTCACCGGCCATCTGGAGACTCAGGAGGTAGGTACACATATGTCCTCACAGTCAGCTGAGGAGGTAGGTACACATATGCAGATCCTCATGGTCACCGGCCATCTGGAGACTCTGCTGTCCACAGTCAGGAGGTAGGTACACATATGCAGATCCTCATGGTCACCGGCCATCTGGAGACTCTGCTGTCCACAGTCAGGAGGTAGGTACACATATGCAGATCCTCATGGTCACCGGCCATCTGGAGACTCTGCTGTCCACAGTCAGGGTAGGACACATATGGTCAGGTCTCATGGTCACCGCCACTGGAGACTCTATGCAGATCAGGAGGTAGGTACACATATGGATCCTCACCCCGCCATCTGGAGACTCTGCTGTCCACAGTCAGGAGGTAGGTACACATATGCAGATCCTCATGGTCACCGGCCATCTGGAGACTCTACTGTCCACAGTCAGGAGGTAGGTACACATATGCAGATCCTCATGGTCACCGGCCATCTGGAGACTCTGCTGTCCACAGTCAGGAGGTAGGGAGGTGCAGGTATTCTTAGAAACTCTGTAAATGACATGAGATACCGTGACATAGTAGATCTTTATGAGTGGTGCAAGGGTAACCAAATATTATTTTAATTCACTGCATAAATGTCCACGGTGACTGGGAAAATGGAGATAAATAACCTTGTATTATCTCACATCAGGATGGAAATTCATGGTCGGTATGAGATGGGAAACACTAGAAATACAAAAGCCTTATCATTTGCCTCCCATAGTATTCCTGACTTACATGACTCTTATGCTGACAGTTCTGTTGATGCACAATATATTGTATAGTTGTTAAGCTGGCTACAATCACTGCTGGCTGTCATGTTTGTGTGACTGTGTTTCAGGCAGGATATTGCAGTATGGCTGCCAGGAATGATGCTGTTTGTCACCTCCATATACTCTGGATCTAGAGCTCTTGCAAATCTGGTAAGCAGTGGTAGCAGCAGCAGATGGTTTTGATATTCAGCGTATGACATCTGAATGTTTTACAGTAAATCTGACTCTTCTAAACAAATGAGTTGTAGCAGTGTTGGTGTTTATGGCTGGACTTGACTGGTAACCTCTTGTGTGACAATGGTCAATTTGTGTTAAGATTGCCGGAGTTATCTCCCTTGTTCATGTTCAGTATTTGTGATAAACATTGGATGGGTTTTTTCATTAGGTGACATGTTTCATCAGAAAGAGCAACACAGACAAACAATGTTACGTTTTTTTGCCAAAATGTAGTTTGTACTGGTCTATTGTAGTCATAATCTATACAGATGTGCAGAAGCGTTTACCCATGTTTACCCATATGGATGGCAATAACTGGCCATGATAGATCAATGGTTTGATCGCTATGAACTTTGTTTCTTAATACTGCAGTGTGCTATGTTTAGTGTTCTTCAGTTGTACTTTATTGGTGGGCAAATCTGCAATTTTAATCTGCTATAGATTTGCCATGGATTGCGATGCGAGGGAGTCGTGGGCTGATAGAAAGAGATCAAACTGTATGTTGCTTGCTACTGCTGAAGTTCTTAATACTGGAAGCTATGTTTAGTGAGTTGACTGCCGACTTAGGCTAAGATAAAGGCTAAGATAAATCTTCTTCTACATTGCAGAAGAAAGCATCTGTTAGCAGATCGGAGGGTAAATCTACCACGGCCTAGTAAGTCAACGCAGAGAAATCCTTCGAAGAGCGAGAGATATTACCTCCACATGAAGTAGACGTTTTGATGACCCCCTGTTACTTCTACCCGACGAGAAGTACCTATGAGATCACTGACTCAATGGAGCTTCTACTAGATCGTCCCCTGCAGCGGTCACAGCAGGCCAGCTGTTTGATCAGTCCGCTCTAGATCGAGATCTCATATCTCTCACAGATGTTCGCAAAGTCACTCATCAGAGACAGAGAGGTTCGCAAAGAGAAGGCTCACATCACAGAAGTTCGCTAAGGATACATCTAGCTTACAGAGCGCTCGGTAGGAAGGGATAGCTCACATCACAGAGGTTAGCGAAGAGATGAATCTACAGTTCGAGGTTCGGCGAAAGAGAGCACTCTCAAGATAGACATTAGCATAGGGAGGAATCTTCAGATAGAGGTTAAGCTGAAGAATGATGAAGGTTCGAGAAGGGATACAGGTTTGCAGATGGATGAGTCGCGAGGCCTAGCACTAAAATCAGGAGATTTTGGATCAGCAAACAGACTTAGTCTTCCCAGACCTAGAGGTTACAGCTGGGATTACTTAGCGGTTTTGAAATTTGAGTCTCCTTCTAAGGATAAAGATGATGTCTACACTTATATATGATGCGTAAGTAGCGACTTTGACTCCATCACTATCCCTCCGATTGAACCTATATCCCAAGGTACCCTCTAACCTACGCGACAGCTTTGTGAAAGCATCCAAGTACCAGAGTCAGCATCTGCCATCATTTAATGTGAAGAGATTCCCCTTACATCATATGGATCCATTTACAAAGCCTTTGAATGGGATGATAACATAAAAGTTAGTCAGCGACTCCCAGGGAAACAAGATGTATAAAGTGGAAGATACAAAGTTATCCTCAACTGGATACTGCTACAAGGAGATCCTTCTTTTGGGTTGGCCAGGTCCAGAGCCATCAATGAAGCATTGATCAATAAATTCCAGAACTCAAGTTAGGAAGAGGGATAGAATAATATATTCGGCCATCATAACACAGAAGAAGGACCAATACTTTTATCAGACCATCTGGCATCTGTATCTGCAGGTCTCACTTTACCCTGCATGAACAAGGGCTACTTGCATCCTGTTCATGGAGTGATAGATTCACCCAACCCGCTACTGAGAGCTCCATGGGAGGTGCCTACTATATTTGGAGGACAAATAGAGCGATGCAGCTGAGGAAGCTTCACATGCGACTCTAGAGAAGTGATGATGATAAAATCCATAGACAATCTAGCCAACGTCATCAGTCGCCGCCCAGTAAAAGTATAACAACAAGTCCAAATATTCCGGCATACAGAAGGCAAAGGAGAAAGTACCACAGCTTCAGAGGCGGCAAAGGATCTTTCCATCGCCCATCCGAAATTACAGAGGAAACTCAGGAGAGGCGCGACTCCCAGAGGATCCGGAGGAACTAGGACGTTGATATCAAGGTTCCCGAACAACTGGAGTCTTCCGCCCAGCCGTTCCTGTTAAATGAGTCGACAGTGGGTGGATCGTCTACAAAGGTACTGGAAAAATTGGGGAATACGCCTGATGGTCTCGACTATGCAGAGGAACAGGCAGACAAACTACAAGAGGCCATCCACTCACTACTTATAAAGGAGGCGTAGAGATAATAGATCAGCATCATCTCACTCCAGGCTTCTATTCCCCAATTTTTCTAGTACCCAAGAAGAACGCCATGGAGAAGTTCAGACTGAGCTACAACATGCGCAAATTCAACAAATACTATCTACTGAAACCAGAGAGGTTCAGAATGATCCACCTACCTCAACTCAGACTACTCGTCCGTCCAGCAGATTACATGGCCAGCATAGACCTGCAGGATGCGTATCTACACATCCTCATACATCCGGAATCAAAAAAGTATCTACGATTCCTATTCAGAGGGCAGCACTTCCAATGGAACGTCCTACCGTTTGGAATATCTTCAGCTCCGCGGGCTATTCACACGAGTAACCAAGCCTATAGTCGCATATCTACATCATCGAGGTCTACGCAATGCCTTCTACATGGACGACGGAATTCAGGTTCACCAAGATGCCAGTCAACTCAGACTACAACTGAACTTCACGATCAAGTTGCTCACTCAACTAGGATGGCTGGTGAACCTTATGAAGTCAGAGTTGGAACCAAAACAAGATCTGCAATTTCTGGGGATAAGGTTTATCACAACACAGAATCGTATTGTCTTCCCAGAAGATCGTTGGGTCAAGATACAAGCCATGATTCCACCAGCAGTCATCTCTCCATTAACACTACGATCATGGCAAGTTCTACTCGGTCTACTGCCCATTTCTGGTGTCCCCCGCCGTGATGTTGCTGGAATATTGCTAAAAGCGGTGTAAAACCAAACTCAGTCAGTCAGTCAGTCAGTACTCGGTCTACTAACCTCCGCGCAGGACTTGACTCGGATAAGAAGGTTACAACTAAGACCGCTGCAACGGTTCCTGACAAAACATCTAGACAGCGTCGACCCTATCTTGCTGCCAGACAACCTCAAGAGGTATCTACTGTGGGGGACGCACAGGTCGAACGTTTGCGGAGGGACCTATTTACAAGAGCCGGCCTTCGACACACATCTCTACGTAGACAACAATCAAGTTGCATCAGGAAGGTGGTCCAAAATAGAGCAGCATCTTCACATCAATCTGCTGGAGATGAAAGCCATGATCAACGCCTTACAACCATGGTCGAGCTCGCTGAACAACAAAATGCTAATGGTCCACACGGACAACTCTACAGTGGCATTCTCCATACATCGGCAAGGATCCACAAGGTCTCCAAGCCTGCTACAGCTCACATTCCAGTTGGTCCACATCACGGAGGAAGCAAACATCTGGATAAAGGCGTGTCACATACCCGGAGCCAAGAACGTACTTGCAGACGCTCTCTCCTGACCACTGCACCCGTCACCTACGGAATGGATGCTCCATCCAGAAACGTTCCGGCTCATTATAAGGGAAATAGGATCCCCTTGCATAGACCTGTTTGCCACGAGGTTCAACAAAAAACTACAGACGTTTGTCTCACCAGTTCCAGATCCTCAAGCCTGGGCAACAGATGCACTGAGCATATCTTGGGAAGGACTAAACGCTCACGCATTTCCACCCCCGATATTACTTCCAGAAGTACTGTTGAAGATCAAACAGACACAGGCACTACAACTGACTTTGGTCGCACCATACTGGCCAGCGAGAGTATGGCTCCTAGACCTAATAGAAAATCTCAGAAGTCCAGCAATCAAGTTACCAGATTGGCTGAACCTACTCATACATCCACACACCAAGCAAGTCCACGGGAACCTGACAGCGTTCCAGCTACACGTGCTGGACCGTATCAAAACATGTTTGAAGAAAAGAGGATACTCCGCCAGGGCAGCCAAGGCAGTAATGCTAGCGTTACGCAGATCTACTCGTAACCTGTATGATGACAAATGGCTGAAGTTTGGGACTTATGCAAGGCGGAAAGGCTTCACTGCGATGAAAACTACTCATCCTCAAGTGGCGGATTATCTGTGTCATCTTAGACAGACCAGACATCTGAAAGGTTCGACATTATCTACATACCTTGTCGCCATCAGTACAGTGATTACCATAAAAACAGGCATCAAGTTGACGAAAGTACCAGAATTACTTGCTCTGATGAGATCTTTTAAACTGGAGGACCAGCAAAAGAAGTTCAGATCTCTGGCCTGGGAACTGAATGTAATTCTAAGTCATCTTACGAGTGATGCCTACGAACCTCTAGACCAGACTACCCTCGATTGCTGACACAGAAGACTCTGTTCCTGCTTGCGCTAGCCACGGCAGCTCAAAATCAGAGATACATGCGCTGGACTTTGGTCGAACCAGATTCGACACGGGGCAACATGCTGCAGTTCATCTTTGACTTAGATGGGACTTCATTGCCAAGAACCAACTACCTGGTCAGCCAGATAGACAGTTCCACGTACCAGCGCTATCTTCAATCCTCGGCCCAGAGGATATAGCCCGGTCATAGCCCTGAAGATATATCTTTAAAAGACTGAGACAAGGAGACAAAAATTCAAGCGCCTGTTCATCCCATTATCAACAGAGACATCAGCAGAAGTCTCAAGAACGACCATATTGTTCTGGATGAGAGCCGTCATATTGAGAGCCTATAAAGCAGCAGGACTAGAACCTCCTAGAGCTTCCAACCCACACGAAGTCAGAGCACTGGCGTCAGCACTGGCTCTGTGCGGAAATTGCTCTATACCAGCAATTATGGAGGGATTGCTTTTGGAAGTCGGACACAGTGTTTGTCAACCACTACATCTGAGACATAACCACTGAAGACGTCTCAGGCATTCACCAATTTGGGCCTCTCGTTGTAGCACAGCAACTAACGGTTCCTCAAAGGCTGCTGAGTTGGAAAATCTCACCCTTTATCATGTTGACTTGTTGATAACTTTTACTAAGGAAAAACTATTACATGTAGTTTGAAAGTCCATGCGCACAGTCTAGGACAGGCTAGCATGAGTGATTAAAGATCCTATACGGGTAAAGATCTTACCTGTACATGAAGTGGTCGCAACTCATTTATGATGAAGATCTTATCGTAATCAGTGGGTTGTTTTGAGATATCTAGTAATAAGAAGATACTAGTTTATCTGTAGCCACATGAATCAACATGATTCAACTTGTCTGAGACTGAAGTAGGACAAGAAAGTGGTCCCCCCGAGTTATAACGGAAGTTGGAAGAATAGGATCACGGAAATGTCGTTTTGCAGTTCCCATGGGGGGATATAGGACGTATCTAAGGACAGCTGATGAATCCACGAAGTGGCTTGACCCACCACCAATCTCGTCGGATTCTATAAGCAAAAGGTCATGAGTCAGGATAAGAAAAAATATGTAATTTTTCAAGTAAAATTGATATTTTTATACTTATCTTGACTCATGACAAGAAGCCCTCCCAACCTCCCCGCTGGAGACACTTTGGATTTCACAGCAGATCCAAGTGCATGGGCAGAAAATCAGGAGAGAGTGACAAGTAAGGCTGGTCACATGACTGTTTGCGTGGGAAAAGGGCAAAAGGGAGGTAACTTGTGGGTGAGTGTATTTTTACGTCCGCTTCGGGAACTTGAAGGGATTCAAGTGTTCCACTACCATTCGAAAAGGAGAGGGAGATAGGCAAAAAATCATGAGTCAGTATAAAAATATCAATTTTACTTGAAAATTTACATAATGATACTGCAAATTACAAAACCCATTCACTCACACACTCCAGACAGTTTTTTGGCCATTGAATATCTGCTCACTTTCTATCATTCACATTGGGTTTTCTTGGTATGGTATAACTGACTGACTGACTGAGTTTGGTTTTATCAGCTTTTAGCAATATTCCAGCAACATTGGTCTCACACATACCCATGTGGGATTCGAACCCGGGTCTTCGGCCTGACGAGCCAACGCTTTAACCATTAGGCTACCCCACCGCCCCTGGTATGGTATAAAAGAACCATATACTATATTTTACAGTAGGGCTTGGCAATCAAAACAGGGAGATATCATAAAATAGAGAGAGAAAATAGAATTTGTACATTTTGTGATCTTAATTGTGTAGAAGATGAATATCACTTCCTCTTAATTTGCCCATTCTATTGTGATTTAAGAAATAAAAATGTCCTAGCATATTACTCTGTATATCCCGATAGGGTGAAATTTTCTTTGTTAATGAGTACTGATGACAATGTTCTTATCCGTAAGTTGTCAACCTTTATCTATCAGACATTGTCTCTAAGAAATAAACATGATAAAACTTTATAAAATGTATGTACTCATATGATGTAATACATTTTGATATGATATGACATAGATTGAATGTTGATATGATATGAATGGCTGTTATATGGAATTAGGCTGCAGCGAAACCATGAGATCAATCAATCAATAAAGATTGAATGTGATACATATGATGTGGCTGCAATATGATATGATCATGATATTATATGATGATGGTGTGTTATCATAATAGCATACCTACAAACAGTAATTGATATATGATTGATACATTTTGATGGATATGACATCATTGAGATCATGACTATATTATTATTTTCTATGATAGATCAGTACTATACTAAAGATTCTTGTATACCATTGGCTGGCTATCAGTATAGATCATTGAGATGACTAAAGATTGTTGTACATTAGGGCTGGCTATCAGCATAGATCATTGAGATCATAATAATACTAAAGATTGAATGTTGTACATTAGGGCTGGCTATCAGTATAGATCATTGAGATCATAATAATACTGAAGATTGAATGTTGTACATTAGGGCTGCTATCAGTATAGATCATCATCATAATAGATCATTGAGATCATAATAGATACTAGAGAGATTGAATGTCAGTGTACATTAGGGCTGGCTATCAGCATAGATCATAGAGATCATAATAATACTATTGAAGACTGGAATAAAGATTGAATGTTGTACATTAGGGCTGGCTATCAGTATAGATCATTAGAGATCATAATAATACTAAAGATTGAATGTTGTACATTAGGGCTGGCTATCAGTATAGATCATAGAGATCATAATAATACTAAAGATTGAATGTTGTACATTAGGGCTGGCTATCAGTATAGATCATTGAGATCATAATAATACTGAAGATTGAATGTTGTACATTAGGGCTGGCTATCAGTATAGATCATAGAGATCATAATAATACTGAAGATTGAATGTTGTACATTAGGGCTGGCTATCAGTATGATCATATCAGTATAGATCATTGAGATCATTAATAATACTAGAAGATTGAATGTTGTACATTAGGGCTGGCTATCAGTATAGATAATAATACTAAAGATTGAATGTTGACATTAGGGCTGGCTATCAGTATAGATCATTGAGATCATAATAATACTGAAGATTGAATGTTGTATCATCATTGAGATCATAATAATACTGTTGCATTAGGGCTGGCTAGTATAGATCATTGAGATCATAATAATACTAAAGATTGAATGTTGTACATTAGGGCTGGCTATCAGTATAGATCATAGAGATCATAATAATACTAAAGATTGAATGTTGTACATTAGGGCTGGCTATCAATAATACTAAAGATTGATATGTTGATCATAGAGATCATGAGAATAATACTAAAGATTGAATGTTGTACATTAGGGCTGGCTATCAGTATAGATCATAGAGATCATAATAATACTGAAGATTGAATGTTGTACATTAGGGCTGGCTATCAGTATAGATCATTGAGATCATAATAATACTAAAGATTGAATGTTGTACATTAGGGCTGGCTATCAGTATAGATCATAGAGATCATAATAATACAAAATGACAAAAACAGTTTACTGAACATAATTTAACAAGTGGCCCTTGAATAAAGATATGACAAAAACAGTTTACTGAACATAATGTAACAAGTGGCCCTTGAATAAAGATATGACAAAACAGTTTACTGAACATAATTTAACAAGTGGCCCTTGAATAAAGATATGACAAAAACAGTTTACTGAACATAATGTAACAAGTGGCCCTTGAATAAAGATATGACTGAGTATTGTGTGTATAAGTAAAACTTACTTCATCACAATAGTTTGTGAGGTATTTGCAATGGCACAATGTTCATAATGGATAATCATTAAAAATTCTTCCCATCACTGATTTATTCTAGTTATCAGTCTTTAAAGCCAGCTGTAATATCAACGTCTTACTCATCTCCAGTGAAATTCTGTTTTCAGTCAGTGCCAGTTTTCTTCTCCATGCAGAACCTGACCATTGTGATCAAGTGGACGGGTGAGCTGGCCATCAACAGACAGGTGAGATGTAGGAAAGAATGCATGCCTGTGGGGTTGAGATCACATAAGATGTCTTAGTTGTCCATCCCCAGGGACCGTTCATAATTTATGGCTAGTGGGGGATGATGAATTTAAGGCAGGGTCACCCATGTTGTTTTGGGGAAGTAGGGGGGTCATCAATTTTGTACACATGTATTAGTGGGGGTCAGCAATTTTGTACATGAAAATATTAAAAAATTATGGTTAAAAATTATATGCAGGGGACCGGGGGACAGGGGTTGGGTGGGGAGTCATTGATTTTGTACATCACATTGCAGGGGGTCTCTTACTTTGTACATAAATTTTTGGGGGTCATTCACATTGTTCATGCTTCTCCACAAAAATCATCATCCCATTAAACAGCAGGTCTCTGCTGCAGTTTTCACTGGTAGAAGTCCATTTTATTGGTATTTTTCTTGAAATTAACCCAAGACATGGTGAACCTATCATGCAAGTTTTAAATATTTTTTTTATATGGCATATATCTTAATTACCAGTAGCAGCACACAAATATTGCTTAGCAATCTTACTGTCGGATAATATGGTTTCGGCACTGTGCGTTTTTGGACAGCAGTTTTGTCTCGTCTTATAACAAGGTGCATAAGTCATGCAGACGTTGTAAAGACTCACATGATGGCTTTTGTTTAAGCTGTCTTGTATAAGTTACTCAGATGTTTTACAGTTGTTCAGCCAGAACAACAAATATATACAAGGATATACAAACAGTACCAACTAGGAATGGTAACTGTGAGGATGGTATTCGTAAGGATGGAGTCTCTATGTTCTGCTGGTACATCTTGTTTCAGCTGACTGGCATCTATGTGTACGGTATGCTGATGCTGACGACAGTGTCCTCTGTAGCCATCATCAAGACAGACCCCCAGGTAGGAGTCTCCCATCACCTCTGACAGTCTCCCTCACTCTACAAGAAAATACTATACTGCTCAATACAAGCCAAGGAACTCCCACCATCTGAAGTCTCTGTGTTGCAATACATACCAGCTGACTACAGATTAACTCAAGTCATATGAACATTACAGATCTTCTTAAGCTTTCTTGTAATGTGTGGATGAAAGAAAGTTATTTTAGTTCCCTAATTAATGCATGATAAAGGGATACAAAAACTAGTGGTCACTTCAGAGACTTGTGTGTGTGTCTGACCTGGGTATTCATGTTAAACTGCACCATAGTATCTCAGTGGGTAAGCACTATAAGTCAAGTCAAGTTCTGGCAGTCACACACATATGTAGGCAAGTCTCAGTGTAAGTGCAGTAATCTCCAGAATGATATTATACCTTACCTTACCTCAGTGCTCACCTCACCTCACCTCACCTCAGTGTTCATTTCACTGCTCACCTCACCTCACTTCACCTCAATGTTCATTTCACTGCTCTACTCACCTCACCTCACCTTAATGTTCATTTCACTGCTCACCTCACCTCACTTCACCTTAATGTTCATTTCACTGCTCACCTCACCTCACTTCACCTCAGTGTTCACCTTAGGGATACAAAAACTAGTGGTCACTTCAGAGACTTGTGTGTGTGTCTGACCTGGGTATTCATGTTAAACTGCACCATAGTATCTCAGTGGGTAAGCATTATAAGTCAAGTCAAGTTCTGGCAGTCACACACATATGTAGGCAAGTCTCAGTGTAAGTGCAGTAATCTCCAGAATGATATTATACCTTACCTTACCTCAGTGCTCACCTCACCTCACCTCACCTCAGTGTTCATTTCACTGCTCACCTCACCTCACTTCACCTCAATGTTCATTTCACTGCTCTACTCACCTCACCTCACCTTAATGTTCATTTCACTGCTCACCTCACCTCACTTCACCTTAATGTTCATTTCACTGCTCACCTCACCTCACTTCACCTCAGTGTTCATTTCACTGCTCAACTCACCTCACCTAGCTTCACCTTAATGTTCATTTCACTGCTCACCTCACCTCACTTCACCTCAATGTTCATCTCGCTGCTCACCTCACCTCACTTCACCTCAATGTTCATTTCACTGCTCACCTCACCTCACTTCACTTCAATGTTCATTTCACTGCTCACCTCACCTCACTTCATCTCAATGTTCATTTCACTGCTCACCTCAGCTCAGTGTTCATTTCACTGCTCACCTCACCTCACCTCACCTTTATTTTCATTTCGCTGCTCACCTCACCTCACCTCCCCTTAATGTTCATTTCACTGCTCACCTCACCTCACCTCACCTTAATGTTCATTTCACTGCTCACCTCACCTAGCTTCACCTCAATGTTCATTTCACTGCTCACCTCACCTAACTTCACCTCAATTTTCATTTCACTGCTCACCTCACCTCACCTTAATTTTCATTTCACTGCTCACGTCCCCTAGCTTCACCTCAATGTTTATTTCACTGCTCACCTCACCTTAATGTTCATTTCACTGCTCACCTCACCTCACTTCACCTCAATGTTCATTTCACTGCTCACCTCACCTCACCTCAATTTTCATTTCACTGCTCACCTCACCTCACCTTAATGTTCATTTCACTGCTCACCTCACCTCACCTCAATGTTCATTTCACTGCTCACCTCACCTCACCTCAATGTTCATTTCATTGCTCACCTCACCTCAATGTTCATTTCACTGCTCACCTTACCTCACTTCACCTTAATGTTCATTTCACTGCTCACCTCACCTCACCTCACCTTAATGTTCATTTCACTGCTCACCTCACCTCACCTCACCTTAATGTTCATTTCACTGCTCACCTCACCTAGCTTCACCTCAATGTTTATTTCACTGCTCACCTCACCTCACCTCACCTCACCTCACCGTTCATTTCACTGCTCACCTCACCTCACCTCAATGTTCATTTCACTGCTCACCTCACCTTAATGTTCATTTCACTGCTCACCTCACCTCACCTCACCTTAATGTTCATTTCACTGCTCACCTCACCTAGCTTCACCTCAATGTTCATTTCACTGCTCACCTCACCTAGCTTCACCTCAATGTTCATTTCACTGCTCACCTCACCTCACCTTAATGTTCATTTCACTGCTCACCTCACCTAGCCTCAACTCAATGTTCATTTCACTGCTCACCTCACCTCACTTCACCTCAATGTTTCCATCACGAGAGATAAGTATTTCCATGTCAAAACATTGAAGGATTTTTTTTATAATGTTAATTATCATTTGATTGTTGAATTTTTAAAAGAATTAGATTTGTTGACTGATCTGTAAATAGCTAAATATTTTATTGTTGGTAGTTTAGATTAGTAACTGAGATTGTTAGTGGCTGTACCCTCAAAGGGGGTTGAAGTAGCGTAAAATTATTGTCCTCCTGCGAGGGTACGTAAGTCCCAAAACTTTCAAAGTAAAGTGTAAATTTACCATATTTTAAACGTGTAGTATCTTTGTTCTTTTAACTGCCGTAACTAAAGTTTCCCACCTATAGCCTGTTTTATCTTGTATTGTCCTAATAGTGCTATTAGTTTTAACCTTCCACTAGTTTTTAAATCAATTGTGATATTCAGTTGTTTTACTGTCCTCACAGGTTTTATAATATCACCTCAATGTTCATTTACGATTTGGCTGAAATATTGCCTGGACGTTAACTATTAACTCATCTCACTACTGCTCACCTGCTGTTTCACTGCTCACCTCACCTGCTGTTTCGGCTGATGCTACTAAAAGTATTCAGTGTCCAGGTAGCTGTTGGTACCTGTCAATGTGATTACTGTAATTAGCCTCAACAAACATGGTTAATATACCAAGTTTCAGAATCATGCACATAAGCTAAACTGTTTTGGGGTTGTTTTCTCTCTCTCTGAGATTACTGTATATCTGTATTTCAGTTGAACTCTGAGGGATACTTCTGGATGAGCATCCATGTGATAAGTAGTGGTAAGATCTTTAGTTCCACAGCCATTTATCAAGTAGTATGGTATGCTACGGCATGTGACCATGAAATGAATTTACTACCTTACAATTTTAGGTTCTTTTTGTGTGTTTCTGGAACTGTTTTCATTCTTTCTCTTCTATTTCTGCCCCATCTTGCCATAACTGTCGTCACAGATGATCATTATTGAGTGATCAAAAATGTTTGTGATTTATTATTTTGCAGGTTTAATAGATGTTTACACAAACTTGATGAAAGGAAGATTAAAACTCAAGTGAGTAGCATTTACCCATTCTACCAGTCAAAGATTGTGATGTATAAACTTGATTATTTATCTTCTGAATTATATTCAGGGCAGTAGGGTAGCCTAGTGGTTAAAGTGTTTGCTCGTCACGCCAAAGACCGGGGTTTGATTCCCCGCATGGGTACAATGTGTGAAGCCCATTTTTGGTGTCCCCCGCCGTGATATTGCTGGAATATTGCAAAAAGCAGTGAAAAACTAAACTCACTCACTCACTCTGAATTATATTCATATTAAGTGATAAATGGGCTGCATATCAATTTTTATGATTTTTATTTTGTTTGTCTTTTTCAACTTCACCAAATTGTTTAAAGGTCACATGCAACGTAAAACACAACTTTGCAGATTCTCATACCTTTGGGTATGGACTTACCGAAACAAATCATCAAAAATGCAAATTCAACTTATTAAGTGGAAAATAACGCAATGAAAAAACCCGCGCGAAATCGGAGTTCAAACGATTCACTAATTTCCCCCCAGCACTTGGGGGAAAAGTGGTTTCAACAGCTGGGCTGCGCTGCGCTGGACTGCGCTCATGGCACATGTGCAGTGAAACAGGTTCGCGCAGCTTGGAAGGTTGTCCGGATTATAAGGTCGTGAGCAGGAGTAGTCTAATCAAAACAAATAGTAAATAATCTACTCATTACATAAAGAACCTTGTTAGGATCTAGATCTACTCAGCTATGTGTCGACCAGTGAGGCGTTCGACATTTCAAGACAGAAAACCTTTGCTGGCGGTGAATACTCGGTGAAGGCTTAGGTGTGGGCTATTTTGTTTTGTTGATATTTCACAGGCGCGAGCTTTTTATATGTTATGACAGTAGATTACCGATTTAACTGTTTATATAATTTCATTTGTCTATTTCACCACACGTTCTTCTTACCGAGTCACTTTCTCAGTTCGATACTTAAAAGCAATGTCATTATTTAGCGTTGACAGAATTTCTAACTGTGATATAGATATGTCGTTATCACAGACAAAACGCAATGTCTGTTTTATTGACACCTGTGTGTCTGCCTGCCTGTCTGCTAATGACAATATTCAATACCCAACTTCAATCACTGACCACATGCAATTTGAACTTAACACCTATCAGGCTATACACCATAAACCAAACGCATCGATTTATGGCCCAAGTTCAGTCTCTGTCACATTATGTAATTACACAGACATGCAGGTATGATACTAGTACACATGACATGTTATGATGTCTGTTGATTGCAAAATGTTATACACAAAAAATGAGCACGTATTTACAAAACCCAACATCTCTATATATACACACACAATGAGCCGTGAGGGCATCGGCAAATGAACCAGCCGTTACACTTGAGTGCACACCCACCGCTCTGACTGGGTTCGGTATCCCGGCTGCTTCGTTTCTAGGGAAGTAAACCCAAGTACAAAATATTGCACTTTTGATTTGCAATTGTACACTTATAATTTTGTTTATATGTTTTTTCATAATCAGCAATGTATATTATATGTCATGAATAAGTGATAATTGTGTTTTAATTATGTTTGATTTTTTGGTTGCATGGGACCTTTAAAGACCTCACATTTATTCATATTGTTTTAATGTTTGGGTAATGAATGAAGGATTGTAATCTAAACTGATACAAACATTTTCAGCTGTCTGGAGATGTTATACTCCAACTACATATACAGGTAGGTTTGATGCAGAGTTACTTCCCTTTAAAAAAACAGGTGTTTCCTTTTGCCCCAATTCCCTAGCAGCGGTGGGGTAGCCTAGTGGTTAAAGCGTTTGCTCACCATGCAGAATGTCAGGGTTCGATTCCCCACATGGGTACAATGTGTAAAGCCCATTTCTGGTGTCCCCCGCCATGATACTGCTGGAATTTAGCTAAAAGTTGTAAAAGAGCTGTAAAACCATAATCACTCACTCACCCAATTCCCTACATCAAGAATAATTAATTGGATATGTAGATATGATCAATTTCAGATGCTAGGACAGAGCAGGTCTCCAGGTCTCATATGCCACTGAAAAAGTGGTCAAATGTAACATGTTATATTTATGATTACACTTAATAGGTAAAGTACAGATTCTAGTGCTTTTGGGGAGTGGAGTCCCATTCGGGATTCGAACTCACACTCTCAGTCAGACACCTTATCTCCAGCACACAAAGTCAGTGATCTAACCCACTCAGCCAAAACAGAAGTCTGACAACTGGTAGTCCCGATCACATGCTTGTAACAAGTATGTCTGACAAGTGTAAATGGGCACTGCTCCCACGACTGGAAGCGTATACCCCTCTGACAAGTGTAAATGGGCACTGCTCCCATGACTGGAAGCATGGCTAGGCGTATACCCCTCTGACTAAGTGTAAATGGGCACTGCCCCAACGACTGGACAAGTGTGCACTGCTCCCATGCGCTTATACCCTCTGACAAGTGTAAATGGGCACTGCTCCCATGACTGGAAGCGTATACCCCTCTGACAAGTGTAAATGGGCACTGCTCCCATGACTGGAAGCGTATACCCCTCTGACAAGTGTAAATGGGCACTGCTCCCATGACTGGAAGCGTATACCCCTCTGACAAGTGTAAATGGGCACTGCTCCCATGACTGGAAGCGTATACCCCTCTGACAAGTGTAAATGGGCACTGCTCCCACGACTGGAAGCGTATGCCCTCTGACAGCTAAGTGTCCGAAATGGTTCTGCTCCCCATGACTGGGCCGTAATACCCTCTGGACAAGTGTGGGCGCGTATACCACGAATGGGCACTGGTAGCTGCTCCCATGACTGGAAGCGTATACCCTCTGACAAGTGTAAAGTGTAAATGGGTAACTGCTCCCATGACTGGAAGCGTATACCCCTCTGACAAGTGTAAATGGGCACTGCTCCCATGACTGGAAGCGTATACCCCTCTGACAAGTGTAAATGGGCACTGCTCCCACGACTGGAAGCGTATACCCCTCTGACAAGTGTAAATGGGCCGACTGGAAGCCGATGTACCCTCTGACTGGAATGGGCGCTCCGCTGATGGAAGCCCCTCTGACAAGTGTAAAGTGATGGGCTGTATACCCCCACAAGAAGGGCCATGACTGGGCGTAAATGCGGCTATGCAGGCCCTCTGACAAGTGTAAATGGGCACTGCTCCCATGACCAAGTGTAAAGGCACTGCCCCTCGACTGGACAAGTGTAAATGGGCACTGCTCCCATGACTGGAAGCATTATACCCCTCTGACAAGTGTAAATGGGCACTGCTCCCATGACTGGAAGCCGTATATACCCTCTGGAACAAGTCACTGAGCAAATGGGCACTGCTCCCATGACTGGAAGCGTATATACCCTCTGACAAGTGTAATGGGCCCTGCTCCGCAAACCAGACTGGGCGTGATACCCCCTCTGACAAGTGTAAATGGGCTGCTCCCCACGCTTACATGACTGGAAGCGTATACCCTCTGACAAGTGTAAATGGGCACTGCTCCCATGACTGGGGAAGCGTGATACCCCTCTGACAAGTGTAATGTATACCCTCTGCTGCTCCCATGACTGGAAGCGTATACCCCTCTGACAAGTGTAAATGGGCGCTGCTCCCACGACTGGAAGCGTATACCCCTCTGACAAGTGTAAATGGGCACTGCTCCCATGACTGGAGGCGTATACCCCTCTGACAAGTGTAAATGGGCACTGCTCCCACGACTGGAAGCGTATACCCCTCTGACAAGTGTAAATGGGCGCTGCTCCCACGACTGGAAGCGTATACCCCTCTGACAAGTGTAAATGGCTGCTCCCACGACTGGAAGCGTATACCCCTCTGACAAGTGTAAATGGGCACTGCTCCCACGACTGGAAGCATGAATACACAATGCCATGTGGTCCAAACTTCACTTATTGTCCCATTGTAAAGCGTTTTACAGATAATGATTAAATGACAGTTGACAGAGATGGTGTGTAACTGGTTTACATTGTCCCTGTATTGATTCCCTATCTGGTTGCCATAGCGATGCACATGCTCATTTCAATGTAAGTCTAACATCTTGCCCATGTGCCTGCTTTCTGTTGAAAGGTTTTGAGGAGATGTAAAATTAGAAATGTCACAAATGTTGTATACATAGTATCGTCTCTCCAAACTCATTGTATTTTCAGTGTGATAATACTTGGACCGTCCAGCTACTTTCTAGGTAGGTATAAACAGAATATAATTCATTATCTTGGTTCTCACTGTCACTAGGTTAAGTTAAGTTAACTGTTACAGCTATTGTATCATCAAATAGTGTTCTTACAGCTATTGTATCATCAAATAGTGTTCTTACAGCTGATTGTATCATCACATGGTGTTGTTACAGCTGATTGTATCATCACATGGTGTTGTTACAGCTGATTGTATCATCATATAGTGTTCTTACAGCTGATTGTATCATCACATGGTGTTTTACAGCTGATTGTATCATCACATGGTGTTTTACAGCTGATTGTTTCATTACATGGTGTTTTACAGCTGATTGTTTCATTACATGGTGTTGTTACAGATGATTGTTTCATTACATGGTGTTACAGCTGATTGTATCATCACATGGTGTTTTACAGCTGATCATATCATCACATGGTGTTTTACAGCTGATTGTATCATCACATGGTGTTTTACAGCTGATTGTTTCATTACATGGTGTTTTACAGCTGATTGTTTCATTACATGGTGTTTTACAGCTGATTGTTTCATTACATGGTGTTGTTACAGCTGATTGTATCGTCACATGGTGTTTTACAGCTGATCGTATCATCACATGGTGTTTTACAGCTGATTGTTTCATTACATGGTGTTGTTAGAGCTGATTGTATCATCACATGGTGTTGTTACAGCTGATTGTATCATCACATGGTGTTTTACAGCTGATTGTATCATCACATGGTGTTGTTACAGCTGATTGTATCATCACATGGTGTTGATACAGCTGATTGTATAAACCACATGATGTTGTTACAGCTGATTGTATCATTACATGGTGTTTTACAGCTGATTGTATCATCACATGGTGTTTTACAGCTGATTGTAGTATCACATGGTGTTGTTACAGCTGATTGTATCATCACATGGTGTTTTACAGCTGCTTGTATCATCACATGGTGTTGTTAGAGCTGATTGTATCATCACATGGTGTTGTTACAGCTGATTGTTTCATCACATGGTGTTGTACCAATTGTGTCATCATGTTGTTATAGCTGTATATATCAGATGGTTGTGTGCTAGTTGATTGTCTTTTCACATGGTTGTGTGAGAGTTGATTGTCTTATCACATGGTTGTGAGACAGTTGATTGTCTTAACACATGGTTGTGTGCCAGTTGATTTTCTTATCACATTGTTGTGAGACAGTTGATTGTCTTATCACATGGTTGTGAGCCAGTTGATTGTCTTATCACATGGTTGTGTGCCAGTTAATTTTCTTTTCACATGGTTGTGTGCCAGTTGATTGTCTTATCACATGGTTGTGTGCCAGTTGATTGTCTTACCACATGGTTGTGAGACAGTCCATTGTCTAATCACACCTCAGTGTGGCAATTGATTGTATTATGACATGCTGTTGGTACAAATGAGTGTATTATTGCATTGTATATCTACAACTGATTATGTCATGAAATGATGTTGTTCTAGCTGATCATGTGTTGTTACAGGTGATGCTTTGGAAGCTGCCAAGTTTCCTTATTTATACTTTTCCAAGTTTTATGTGGGATGTATACTCAGGTAAGTGATGTCATTACCATGTGTATAGACAATGATGTGTAAGTGACAACACCATCTATCCCTGCAATGATTGAGTCTATTGTCATGGTTGTGTCTATTGTCATGGTTGAGTCTATTGTCATGGTTGTGCCTATTGTCATGGTTGTGTCTATTGTCATGGTTGAGTCTATTGTCATGGTTGAGTCTATTGTCATGGTTGTGCCTATTGTCATGGTTGTGCCTATTGTCATGGTTGAGTCTATTGTCATGGTTGTGTCTATTGTCATGGTTGTGTCTATTGTCATGGTTGTGCCTATTGTCATGGTTGTGTCTGTTGTCCCTATTGTCATGGTTGTATCTATTGTCCTGGTTGTGTCTTGTCATGGTTGTGTCTATTGTCATGGTTGTGTCTGTTGTCATGGTTGTGTCTGTTGTCATATTGGTTTGTGTCTGTTGTCATGGTTGAGTCTATTGTCATGGTTGAGTCTATGCCTATTGTCATGGTTGGTTGTCATGGTTGAGTCTATTGTCATGGTTGTGTGGTTGTGTATTGTCATGGTTGTGCCTATTGTCATGGTTGTGTCTATTGTCATGGTTGTGCCTATTGTCATGGTTGTTGTCTATTGTCATGGTCTGTTGTCATGGTTGGTTGTGTCTATTGTCATCATGGTTGTTGTCTGTTGTGCCTATTGTCATGGTTTGAGTCTGTTGTCATGGTTGTGTCCTTGTGCCTATTGTCATGGTTGAGTCTATTGTCATGGTTGTGTCTATTGTCATGGTTGGTCTTTGTCTATGTCTGTAGTCTATTGTCATGGTTGTGTGGTTCATCATGGTTGTGTCTATTGTCATGGTTGTGCCTATTGTCATGGTTGAGTCTATTGTCATGGTTGTGCCCTATTGTCATGGTTGTCTATTGTCATGGTTGTGTCTATTGTCATGGTTGTGCCTATTGTCATGGTTGTGTCTATTGTCATGGTTGTGTCTATTGTCATGTGGTGCCTATTGTCATGGTTGAGTCTATTGTCATGGTTGTGTCTATTGTCATGTCATGGTTGTGTCATTGTGCATGGTTGTGTCATGGTTGTCTATTGTCATGGTTGTGTCTATTGTCATGGTTGTGTCTATTGTCATGGTTGTGTCTTGTCATGTCTGTGTCTATTGTCATGGTTGTGTCTGTTGTGCCTATTGTCATGGTTGAGTCTGTTGTCATGGTTGTGTCTGTTGTGCCTATTGTCATGGTTGAGTCTGTTGTCATGGTTGTGCCTATTGTCATGGTTGAGTCTATTGTCATGGTTGTGTCTGTTGTGTCTATTGTCATGGTTGTCATGGTTGTGCCTATTGTCATGGTTGAGTCTATTGTCATGGTTGTGTCTATTGTCATGGTTGAGTCTATTGTCATGGTTGTGTCTATTGGTCATGGCTGTCTATTGTCATGGTTGTGTCTATTGTCATGGTTGTGCCTATTGTCATGGTTGGTTGTGTCTATTGTCATGGTTGTGTCTATTGTCTATTGTCATGGTTGTGTCTATTGTCATGGTTGTGCCTATTGTCATGGTTGAGTCTATTGTCATGGTTGTGTCTATTGTCATGGTTGTGTCTATTGTCATGGTTGTGTAAATATATTCAAAGTTACATTACTTTCATTATCCTCTTTTCATATTTATAATATTGGTTAAAATGAATTTCCTGTTCAACAATATAATAATAAATCCTTGTAATTTCTGCTGTGGTCTGTTGGGCATGTTCCTTGAGTTGGGGATATTCTTAAATCTCCTGTGTGTGATGTTCATGTGTTACCATGGAAACTTAATATTCCAACAGTACTGTGTCGGGCACATTCATTGAGTTGGAAATATTCTTTAATATATTGTGTGTTATGTTCTGTGTTGCCATGGAAACTGTCTATTTCTTCAGTGGTGTGTTGGGTGAGGTGAAATTGGGTTTAACGTCATGCTTGAGAATATTACGCTCATATGACGACATGCATGCGTGTGTATGTGTATGTGCGGCTGCTTGTACTACCCCAGACTTAAGCTGGTGTTATAGTGCTAGCCCACTGAGATACCATGACACAGTGAAGCATGAATACCCCACTCAGACACATTATACTGACTCCGAGACGACCAGTCCTTTTTGTACCCATTAATGCCGAGTGCCAGGCAGGGACCAACAAGTACCATATTTTAACGTCTTTTGGTATGACCTGGTCGGGGATCGAACCCACGACCTTCCGCTCTCCGGGCGGACGCTCTAACCACTACACCATGGAGGCGGTCAGTGGTGTGTTGGGCATGTTCATTGAGTCAAATATTTTTTAATATATTGTGTGTTATGTTCTCTGTTGCCATGGAAACTCTCTATTTCTTCAGTGGTGTGTTGGGCATGTTCCTGCACCTGCTGTCCATCAGACTACAAGAGGAGGAGGAACACACCCTCGACTTCCAGGCATCACTTGCCATTAGCAAGGTGAGCAGTACTTCAGGGGACTGTAGCTTGCTTTATTAGCAGGTATGGAAACAGTCCCTAAATCTGTTTTGAATGTAAGTGAGATACCATAATGCCTCATAATTGTTATCCCCTAAATTAACAACAGTCTGATTTGACTTGAGATCTGTATTAAGATTTGAACCTTAATGCTACAATCTGTTTTTCAGATTGTGGGATCCTTACTGTCCCTGCTGTTCTTTGACTTTCAAGTTGTAGCTAACCAAGCGCTGTGGTGAGTTGTCATGCAAATAGTATCCATTCAGCTCTGATGTAAGTTGTCTTACAAGTAGTACCCAGTCAGGCTCAATGATGAGTTGTCTTACAAGAGTACCCAGTCAGGCTCAATGATGAGTTGTCTTACAAGTAGTACCCAGTCAGGCTCAATGATGAGTTGTCTTACAAGTAGTACCAGTCAGGCTCAATGATGAGTTGTCTTACAAGTAGTACCCAGTCAGGCTCAATGATGAGCTTTCTTACAAGTACGAGTACCCAGTGAGGCTTATTCTTTTTCAGAAGAAGTCCTCGCCCAGGGCATATCATTTAAATTCCATTTTTCAGAAGAAGTCCTCCGTCTGATGAGTGTAAAGAGTCTCAATCTGTAATTGGGGTACATATAAGCTTGTAGTAGGAGTTCATATATTATGTTTGCATATTATTTAAATGTCCATTTTAAATCCTACGGCAGTGGTAACTATATTTTAATAAAATATTTACAAAACAAAAACTCGTTTTTGTCTTGTGAGATCACCCCTACAGGGCCCCACTGCTTGGGAAAAACCTTGATTTGATCAGGCTTCTCACATGTGCCATGTGACCCGGGACGCAGAATCGGAACCGGGTTCAGGCTCAGCCTGACAGTGGACAAGTCGATTTGAGCTTACACCAGGGGCTCATTTCGAAGCGCTACTTTGAACTTACCTATACTGAGTAGAAGTTGAGAAAGATTTATCCCTGAGGCAAGTCGCGGAGATAGAATCAGCGGCTGTGTTGCCTCAGGTGTTCAGTCCAACGCCGAATCAGGCCTCTCACATGTGCCCGAACCGTTAGATTTTGCCTCCCGGAGGGAAGCCTGCTTCCAGCAAGGCATCCGGGACAAGGCCTCACACTCTACAGTCAGTCTGCCGTTCTTTCCCCTTAACAGCTCAACGCTGTATGCTCCACTCGGCGCATCTCTCAGCTCTGCTGAGGGAGCTGGTGGAAAGGGGAGAGCGCCGGGTGGTTTTTTCGTCGGCGACTCATTTGACGGAGGTTAACTCTCATCTGGCTAGGGACTGCATTGTAGCTGTGCCAGCCAAATGATGAGTGCGGTTATGGGCCTATGACGCCCAGGACTGTTTTCGAGGAATACGGAAGTCTGTCGAGCTTCTCGTTAATTCCTCAGGTGCCCAGGCACCGGCAAATGTTAAGTTGCCGACTGCTGGGGTTTACTGTATTCTGCCGCAAACCCTGGTCGGAGCGACACACACCAGTGTCAGCTTCCCGGGAGACGGCGAAAATACTCCGTGCCGAGATCCAGTCTCTGCTGGGCAAGGCAACCAGCGTGGTGGTTTTAGAATAACTGTTGAGTCTGGGGACCTCACGATCAGTGTTGGTCAATCTTACGAAACTGGGCGGAATTGTCAACCTCACGCAGTCAGATGGACAGACGTCAGGCGTCTCTCCGAGGGGCTCCCCCTGGAGACACCGTCGCTCTCAGTCCAGCCAGATACATCCCTACCGGGTTAGGGCGATGTTCTGGGCGACCTGCAGTCTCTTGACGGCAAAGTCACAACCTGCACATCAATGTGCTGGAATTGACAGCAGTCAGGTTGGTGTTCGATCCCGCATGCCGGGATTCGAATTACCTTTTCGGCCAGACATTCTCACTCTGAACGGGGCGCCACACCCGAATCCTCAGATTCACTGGGTGGCTTGGCCTCTGTCGGGTCTAACGCCCAGACACGCGGAATTCCTGCAACCATTGCAGACACAATTCTAGCTTCGAGGCGGGATTCGACACCCGTTCAGTGTGTTGATAGGTGGGGCACGCTGGTGTGCAGATAGGGGGATTTCATAATCCCTATTCTGCGGATTTAGTTCTGATATTGGAGTTACTATAACCTCGTTTTGGTTGAGAGCCTTATGACCTCCACCATTCCCGGGTACTCCATGGCTATTTCCATCGCGTTTCACACCTCGTTCGATGGTGCTCTGCCTAGGCAGCACCCTCTCGTACATCGCTCCGTAGCTGGCATGAACATGGTTCGACCGCCTCGGCGGCGACCCAGCCCACCTTAAAATTGCCAATTATTCTCAATTGGCTGTCTGGCCCTGACTTTTCAAGTATATCGTCTCTCTCACTTCACTTGTTGACGTGGAAGACGGCTTTACTTGTTGTGGTGAGCTCTGGTAGAAGGGTCGGGTACATCCATGCGATACCCACTGACCCGACACTGATCTTATTTTATACTGATCATGTCCGTATTCGCCTCCCAGATACCTACCACTCTCAGTTCGATATTGCTTTCCATGTGACTGCTCATATCGCACTTCCACCCCTTACCCAGCCTTCCACACCGGGGCCCAATCTTTCGATTGCTCACCCGTGACTGTAACGAACGAACGAACGAACGAACAAAAGGGATCCCTACGGGTAACCATGTGTTCCGTTTGGTGGCGGGAAGACTGGGGAGTCTGCTAGCAAGCGAACTTTATCTCGTTGGCTTGTTTCCGTAATTGTTCAGTTACAATGCTAAGGTTTACCTTCCCCCGAGGGGTTGAAGGCAGACTGGGTAGGGCAGATGCCGCTTTGTTGGCAATACACAGCGGCACTGCTCAATGAAGAGATCGGTTCTGTCGCTCTTTGGAGCCGGCAGAACACCTTCATTCGCCATTACCGACTTGACACGCATTCTAAGGATCGTGCTCGGTTCGGTCTTTCGGTTCTCTCCAGTGAAGAGTGTCCTGCCACCCTGACCAAGTTAGTAACTGGTCATTGGTATCGGTTCTGTGTTCAATGTCGATATATTTCATATCACTACATCTGTATTAGCCTTACCACCTTTCGGGTTGGGTCGGGTTTGGGTGTACATACATCCCTTATGTCCTCTTCAAGAGGGCGGGGTCCGTTTTGAACGCTTTAACCAGTCATATGCTATTAACACGTCTTGCGGCAGAATTCGGTACGAACCCCCCACGGGGCACTGTTTGGTATGCCTCTCTTTCGAGCCGCATGTCACGTGACCAGGTTAGTGTAATGGTGAGCCAAGACATGTTCGACTCACGCGTTTTAAGCTATTCAGGGGATTTTTGTACGCTTACAGTTTTTTCACTCTTCCGGAGACTCCGGTATTTGGGAGTCTGTGTTAATCAGCTTTGTGGGATGGTGGTCTATACTTACCCTCCTTACACAGAGAGTGTTTGGTGGGGGTGTTTTATCCTGTTTTTCACTCGTACAATGCATGGCGTTTGTACTCGTTCGATTTCCTCAGAAGGTTTTTAGCGAGGCTAATAATTTCTCTGGGTGTTATCGAGGTCCTGGCAAGCCCTCTTCCAAATAGAAGGGGTGCATTCAAGCATTAGTTTGCAGTACTTATTAGCTCGACTCCTGGGTTATTGGCTTTTTAGCGTTTAAATTTTTATGCTTTCCCTGCCCTTATACCTCTCGCCACGCTTCTCTGGCTGGGGCTATATTAGGGTTGGGAGTTGTTTCGGCATGTCTCCATACATTCCTTTCCATTGTAATGGTTGGGGGTGGGGTTTTATGTCATAATTGATTTGAGCCAATTGACATATAAGCTTGGGCTCTCTAGTTCACGCCCCCGTCTGATTGGCATCATCGGTCAGGTGGCTCGGTAAGTGTTTTTTCTGTTTCTGTATCGGTTGTAGATTTCACTCCACCACGGGTTTAGTTGTTGCCAGACAGAATGCCACTCCCGTCTCAAATATCTTTGGGAGTCTGTCATATGCTTACATGTACCCCAAGGAGGACTTCTTCTGAAAAAGAATTATACAAACCTGTAGAGGTTATGAATTCTTTGAAGAAAGTCCTCCTTGGGGTACGGCCTCCCGCCTCCCTTCATTCTGTCTGACATGTTCAGCATGAAAAGTGAGGTACGAGGTAGACAGCGAGAGTTACCTGCTCTTGGCTGTAGGGGGTTCGGTGGGGCCCTGTAGGGGTGGTCTCACAAAACAAAAACGAGTTTATTGTTTTGTAAATATTTTATTAAAAAATATAGTTACAACTGTCGTAGGATTTGAAATGGACATTTAAATGCTTATATGTACCCCAAGGAGGACTTTCTTCAAAGAATTCATAACCTCTGCAGGTTTGTATAAGTTTTCTTACAAGTACCCAGTCAGGCTCAATGCAAGTAGTAATCAGTCAGCCACTATGATGAGTTGACTTCCAGGTAGCACCCAGTGAGGCTCAATGATGAGTTGTCTTATAAGCAGTACCCAGTCAGGCTCATTGTCGGTTTTCTCACAAGTAGTACACAGTCAGACTTTAGGATGAGTCGAGTCCCAGGTAGTACCCATTCTGGCGCAATGATGAGTTGTCTTACAAGTAGTACCCAGTCAGACTCGATGAGTTGTCTTGCAAGTAGTAGCCAATCAGGCTCCATGATGAGCTGACGTTTAAGTAGTATCTGGTATTGTCCAAGACCATTTAACTGCTATTGAAACTGTAACTCTGCCCATCTTTACACAGGATCACAGTGAATCATCTGTGTGCTCTGGCCAGCAGCAAGTCCCTGACAGCCCATACAGCACCCCAGGTGACGGTGGAGAATGTGCTGCCCCACAACCACCCAAACATCAGAAGAGACAACCTACAGCAGGACCTACTGAGGACAGAGATCGCCTGACCATTGACACTATGGTGTGACTATTAGACTTGATAACTTTACACTGTGGTGAGACTGTAGGCCCTGACCTTTCACATTGTGATGTGACCATAGGATGCTTCACACTGAGGTTTGATTGCTGGACTTGATCCTTCTCACTCAGGTGTGGCTGTACAACTGAAACCCTTACACTGTGGTGTGACGGTAGGACTTTATCCTTCACGCCGTGGTGTGACTATGAAAACTACAGAATCTGGGTTGGTAGAATATCCTCTCAAGCATGTGAAGTGAAAGTGCTTTCAACATGAACTCAAAAATAACAAATGGAAAAGTTCTAGTGAGGAAGCTCAGTTCTTTATGTGATTAGGTAGATTTCTAAATCAATTAATTGATGTAGAAATAATATTAACAGTTCGGTCAGTGTCACTGCACTTGCCAAATCCCACCTGCTCACAAGCCACATCCGACTTTCCCCAATCCACCATCATGTAGGAGAGCAAAAGAACACTGATCTGCATGCATTACGTCTATACAATGTAATATTCTAATACATTTATAAATACATGGACATGTATTAGCAATCTGACATAAGTACATCATCTTTCAGCGGATACATTCCCGTGTAATAACTGAAATAACTCCTCCTTACATTCATGAGTGAGAAGAAGTCACAAAGATCTGATGACAGGCTTGTTAGACTGCTAAGAGGATGACTGTTGAGCAGAAGGACATGATACAGTCAAACACCTTTATGTCGAATTTTGATATGTTGAAGTTATGGTTGTTTCAAAGTAAAATTTTGGTCCCTGCATATTCTGCATAGTCATCATTTTGTGGATAACTCGAGGTACTTTCCCAAGTCTCTTCAGCCTCGACACAACAGTGTTTGTTGTATTCCGTCTCTGATAGATGTATCTAGGTGTAGACTGCAAGCCAGCTGAAGGGTCAAGGTGGTCACCTTTTTGGAAAACAGTGATTCAAATCCTGTACACCACAAATAGAGAAATAGAGGTAGGCCCGCTCTCTGAAATTTAACAGATCTTGTAGAAACAACAGTAATAGCAGGGTATGAAACTCACAAAAAATTCAGCCAGACCACAGGCTAGTTAGATGTAAAACTTGAAATCCTGACCAAAACTTACCTGCCCATAAGATATCTTCATATGTACATGTCTAAATTTTAACCCGACCATCGGGCAGGTGAATTTGAGAATCTGGCAGTCTGTGTTGAAAATAACCCGTCCCGGACGGTCGGGCAGGCAGGCAGGTATTTGAACGCTGGTAGTAGTGAGGTAGTGATGTCATAAAGGTCAGAGCCTTGGTTTGATACCCACATGGGTACCATGAGGAGGCCTCTTGTTTCTGAGGGCGGTGGGGGAACCTAGTGGTTAAGGCGTTTGCTCGTCATGACGAACACCTGGGTTCAATTCCCCACATCAGCACAATGTGTAAAGCCCATTTCTGGTGTCCCCACTGTGATATTGCTGGAATATTGCTAAAAGCGGGGTAAAACTAAACTAAACTCATTCACTCAATATTGTGTCTGAACTGAATTGGTGATTGAAGGGCTTCATTTGGTCTCTAAAACCCTATGTCACTGTACATAGTATCAATCACTGGTTTGACTGGTTCAGACATGATGATACACCACCTTGTTATATCTTGACTTGCACAACGTTCACTCAGACATCCTTGCTGTGATATCTAATTGTCATAAACCCATTCTCATTCCTCAATGGATTATGCATGTATTCGTTTTGTCAGCACAGATATCAGTGTCATACAGCCTTGAGACACCTTTCAGGGGATATATTTAGTAGCATGATGAGGAACTGAGGGTATATTTGGTGCGTCAAGAACCTCATGCAGAACTGTTGTACAACTTATTATGCTTTATGAGGGAACAAGATCGTCCTTTTCTTTGACAGAAATGTCATGCTTTAGATATGAACCTATGCATGTTGTGTATTTGTCAAGTGTATTCTTTACAGAAAGATACTGAGAAATCCTAATGTTTTGTTACAGCGGAATATGTGGATCTGTTGCTGAAACAGCAGCTGTTTGTGGTCAGGCCAGATACAGCTTCTCTGTCTGTTCTGTTACCGAAACAGCAGCTGTTTGTGGTCAGGCCAGATACAGCTTCTCTGTCTGTTCTGTTACCGAAACAGCAGCTGTTTGTGGTCAGGCCAGATACAGCTTCTCTGTCTGTTCTGTTCTGAAACAGCAGCTGTTTGTTAATCATCATTTCACAGTTTGTTTGTTTTTTCTTTTTCTTTTTTATATATTGAGTGTTCATGTACTTTGGGTAACAATATTTTGACTGGGACTTTTATGGTGACTATTGTTTTGAATAAAACATGTTACAAATGAATTTGTTTGTTCATTGTAATATTGGATGTTCTGGTGTACAGCTTTCCCAGAAAATATTCAGAAAATCTTTGTTTCCTAATACTGATAATAGAATTTTGAAATAGGTGTTACATTATGTAGTAAGACCTTACTACATTAAGAGTTATCTCCCTTGGTGTAGCAGACGGCTTCCTCAGTTGATGAAGTGTATTTGCTATGAGTAGTTGTAACACCAATCCTATTGTACCTCGTATTTCTGATTACGTCATCTACACGTCATCTGCATGAGGATGATGACGTCATGTATGGATGAGTTAGCCATCTTGAATTAAATACGAAGGTTGAAACCAACTCCCTGGTTGTGTCTTGGTGTACGTGGTGTAAGGAACACCCCCACACTGAGTACATTACAGTTGACATGGCAGATTTGACAGCAGAAGAGAAGAGAAAGCTGGTTCTAGATGATTTTGAAAGGGGTGTGACTAATGCCAAAGAGTTAGCTGGTAGACATGCCATCTGTCTTCAGTATACATAACTTTGAAGAATATTCAATCAGGAGTTGGGATTGAACACAAGATAGTTGGCGGGGAAGCCAAGGTAGTTCAGTACTACGGATCACCGGCGACTTGGTCAGAGTGTGAGTAGGGGAAAATTGAATGGCGTTGAGAATATCAGAAATGATATGATTAAAAGAGGAGGTCCTCATTTATGTAATGAAGCCCTTAGACAAAAATTTCAAAGACTGAACTGGGTGAAAAAGCGCGGAATTCACTCACCGTTGTTGAAAGGTACACAAAAAGACAATTAAACTCAAGATTGGGATAATGTTTTCTTTTTTATGAAAGTTGTACCTGGCCTTTTCCAAACTGTGTGCAAATTTGGACAAAGGATACCGTGAAACATCAACGCCCGAAATTTAACATGTGGCTTGGGATAGCATCACGTGGAGTGGCGCCCTTGTGTATTTTCACTAGAAATTTGACAAAGGAACGATTTGTTGACATCTTAACTGATCACCTCCCACGCTCGAACACTGTATGAAGATACTTAGATTTTCCAGCATGATAACGACCAAAAACACACTTCGGGCTACACAAAACAGTGGTTGTCGGACAAAAATGTTCAAGTTTTAAACTGGCCCAGCTACAGCACAGATCTTAATCCTACTGGGAATGTGTGGGGACTAATGAAGGACAGAAGGGGTATTCTCGGGGCGTGGTCACCCTGTGTTGTGTAAAAGCAAAGTCGAGAAAAAAGTGTCCACTTCGTGCGAATGTGTTACTGAGCTCATTAACGCCATACAATAGACAAAGTTTGTGATTAAGATATTTCTGGCAATACTAAACTGTGAAATTATAAGGAAACGAAACAAGTTTATTGTTACAATTTTAATAAATAAGACAAGCACTATGGCGCTGGTGTCCCCAAGGTACAATCTGTTCCTGGTGGCCTCGTATATTTCTTGCAGGTTGGCGTATTTTATGATTAAACATCGACAAACCTCAGTTTCATTCAGAACAGCGGGAGGTTGTGTGCATTGGGCGGCTTGGTGAGGATGTCGTTGACGGTAGATACAAATCAAACAATCGATTTACAATCCTTGATGGTACATGTACATTGCCAAGAACACCTGTCGTTTCGTCTTCTCTTCAGGATTCTGTAAGTGTGCCCATTCACGATGAAGTATACTAGGCACATAAAGAAACTGTGCATACAAAAATTTAAAATCTAAATTTATCAAACCTGTGTAGACACAAGGATTTAAACTCAGAGATTAGTGACATGTATCCAACATGCATGCACGTGCCACGTTCCGTGACGTCAGTGCGTTCGTCCTTGAGACGTGCAATACGTTGTTGCACGTGTATTACGGGAAAGAGAAACAGAGCAAATGAATGCCACACAATACTGTCACTTTGGAAAGCTCAACCCCTGCCCTTGCGATCGTTAAAAAAATTAAACGGCTATTGAAACGCATAGCATGCCAAGGCTCACGTCTGCACAACGTCATGAGGCCATTGGGATGGTCCGTGGGGGGAATGTCTCAACGACAAGTGGCTGCACATTTCCATTGCCACCGGAACACCATTTCTACACTGGTGAGACGCTACCAGAACACAAATGACGTCATCGATCGGCCACGTTCTGGACGTCCACGTGTAACAACGCCAAGACAGAACAGATGGATAAGGGTGACTCATCTTCGCCACAGGTTTCAGACTGCAGTGATGACTGCCCGAACCATCCTAGGACTTCGCCGTATCCACCCCAACACAGTTCGACAACGTTTACGTCATCACGGGATCAGACCACGACCAGATGAGTCCAGGTTTAACATTTCCCATAGTGATGGACGTCAACGTGCCTATAGACGCGTGGGAGAGCGTTATGCACAGGCCTGTGTCTTGGAGAGGAATCGCTTTGGTGGTGGTTCCGTGATGATTTGGGGTGGAATAACAGCGCACCAAAGAACTCCTTTGGTGATTGTTCAGGGCAACCTCACTGGTGTGGGCTACAGGGATCAGATTCTTCGACCTGTGGCAATTCCTTTTCTGCAACGTCATGGCCCTTGGTTAACATTCCAACAGGACAATGCCCGCCCTCATACGGCAAGGGTTGCTATGGATTTCTTGTAACACCACAACGTTGACTTACTGCCTTGGCCTGCAAATTTACCGGATCTCTCCCCGATAGAGCATGTTTGGGACTAGATGGATCGACAGCTACGCCGTCTTCCCCATCCGCCAGATAACGTCCTTGACTTTGCAACAGAACTTGAGAGAATCTGGCGTGACATCCCACAAGCCTTCCTTGCACGTTTGATAAGCTCTATGCGTCGTCGATGCACTGCTGTTCTCAATGCCGATGGTGGACATACCCGTTATTGAGCTTGTGACATGGTCGTTTGACCCCTGTCCCGCTTGTGGACTCGTGACGTCATTGTGATTGACTTTTCAATTGAAATTCTCCCGAATTGTTATGGTCTCATGATCCCTCCATTAAAGTTTATATGTACCTTTAGCATTGTTATCGTACTTATCAACTGGGATAATATTTTGACAATGCACAGTTTCTTTATGTGGCTAGTATATATTCCACCTCGATATGTCGGAAGAAATTTGTAATCCAACTGTACGTTTGCCATAGCGAAAGTGATACATGATTTACCTCATTGTGCCAGAATTATATAGTACAAATTCTTGACACTGATTAAACGTTTGAGTAAATTTACTCACCTATCGGTGTACATGTATACTTATTGGAGTGAACCTATTTTATGAAATCAATCAACACTGAAAACAATTTCTGAGTGAACTCATTCACCTATCATATATTTATAGTCATATGCTTACCAGAGTGAACAGAGTTCATGAAACCTTAACAATTCCGGATAAGTTCACATTCCCTACCAAATAATCCCTTACAAAAACAAAACACGACATCAAAGGTAAACCGTCTGTCCACGTGCTGTAAATGCAAAACCAAAGAAGACTCTAAAAGATTGAGGACATAAGTGACTGAGTTTAGTTTTACGCCGCACTCGGCAATATTCCATCTATATGGCGGGGGTCTGTAAAAAATCGAGTCTGAACCAGACAATCCAGTGATCAACAGTATGAGCATCGATCTGCACAATTGGGAACCGATGATATGTGTCAACCAAGTCAGCAAGCCTGACCACCGGATCCCGATAGTCGCCTCTTACGACACCCATGGGTTACTGAAGGCACATTCTAACCCGGACGGACCTTCACGGGTCTTGAGGATATAGAAGTGATCGGATATTGGGATACGCTGTCACAAGAATTCCTACAAACTTTGATCGATAGTGTACCTAGGCGCATTCAGTCGTGTATTGCAGGGCAAGGAGGTCTCACAAAGTACTGAAAGGACACTTAGACTGTAAGAGAATCATATCTCAACATTTTCATTAAAGTAAAACTTCTGTAGTTTATATACATGTTACACTCCCATTCCACTGACCATCGGAAGCCCATCGGATCCAAATTTTTCCAAAATTTCAGCTTTCCGATGAGTTCCGATGAAAATTCACCCAACATCCTCGGGTAAGTTCCTTCATCGGACGATTTCGCCTCATCGGATCACGCCCGACACGTCGGACACTGACCTGATAGTCGACAAACACAAATCGGATTCCTCGGACTGTGATACGATACTTTTCGGTGAGTTACCGGAAGGGAAAAACTTTGGTTCCGATGAGTCCGAAAACTCTGTGGAATGGGGGTGTAAAGGGGGGCAAGACGCCGACCGATGGAGGAAAGGGGCAGATCATATCCCAATAGGGCACATGTGGGATTAACTGGGTCGTCACGTGAAAGTCAAGGACTAAACAATCCACACTGGAATATGAGGAATTTAGCAACGGACACCTGTTGCAAATTCAGCGTTTAGAAATGTTAAATGTTTTACAAAGTCTCTTAAAACGTGCAAAACTGGTTAGCTATTCTTGGGGCAAATGAATATGGCTTTTTAAATATTCACTGAGCAATGTTTCACACATACACAGTAGCTGCAATTGATACACTGTCAATGTCAATATACATATTCACAAGATAATGGGTGGTGCGTCACTAGCTCAGGCACACAAAACCCAGGCAGCCGGCTGCATCTCACTCAGCCTATTTCGGGGAATCAAGAAATGGAAAGTCCACGGAAGGTAAGCTCAATCTACTACAAGGAAGGAATTCTTTTGTCAAAATCCTGGTCGGTTCTTGAGCTTTCACACGGTAACAAATATGAAACAAGTTTCACAGATGATGCTTTTGCTGAAGACGTGTAAGTTCTTCCCTCTTCCTGATGATTTGTAACCCGTGAAGATCCGGGTTAGAATTGGATCCGTAACCCATGCTTGTCGTAAGAAGCGACAAAGGGGATCGGGTGGTCAGGCCCGCTGACTTGGTTGATACATGTCATCGGATCCCCTTTGGGTAGATCGATGCTAATGTTGTTGATCACTGGATTGTCTGGTCCAGACTAGATTATTTACAGACCGCCGCCATATAGCTGGAATATTGCTGAGTGTGGCGTAAGACAACAACCAACCAAATAATAATGTGAACCTCCTCATGGCATATTAGCATCGGAAAATGTTTTTTGTAATCAATATTAAGTAGACTCAAACACCAGTAACTCTTTATCGTGTAACACACGTCTATTCTACAGGGCGGTAAGGTAGCCTAGTGGTCAGAGCGTTTGCTCGTCACGCCGAAGACCCGGGTTCGATTCCCCACATGGGTACAATGTGTGAAGCCCATTTCTGGTGTCCCCCGCCGTTATTGCTGGAATATTTCTAAAAGTGGCGTAAAACTAAACTCACTCATATAACGTGTACCTTGTTAAGCACAACAGGAATGGTTTGTGAATGTTGACATGCTTGTATATACATAACAGACATAATTGCATAATGTTGTATCTGTTCACAATTTTATCTTGGGAAAGGATAATAGATAGTAAGGTACTAGGGGCTTTGTTAGATGTTTGTGCGTCACGCTAAATATTGGGGCATGTTCGCGGTGTAACCCCCACCCCCTGTCTCTCTCTCTCTCCCACCCGCCCCAACACAAATATGGCATCGTGATGATGTGCTATTCAAACCAAACGAAGTGTCATTGTCATTACATAAGCACAAAACGATAATACACAAAAGAATGGTGCCATCTCATCCCCGAGTGACCTCATGTAGTTAGGTCGTTGAGTCATTGTTTACAGTTCTAAAGTGTTTCCCGGTACCCCGTGCTTGTACAGGGGTTGAATGTTGAGGCTCAGTCGCTTTGCGGATGACGTGTCATTGTTGTGAATCATTTCCGTCTGTCACTGTCTGACTGTTGATACTTGATATTTGCTGTCCATAGTAACATGGTCGTAGCCGCAATGTTGCTGACTGTGCCACAGTCTGACTCGGAACCCCATTCAGTCATTGCCTCATCTAGTGACTGAGTGAGTCTTGTTTTACGCCGCTTTTAGCAATATTCCAGCAATATCACGGCGGGGACACCAGAAATGGGCTTCACACATGGTACCCATGTGGGAAATTGAACCTGGGTCTTCAGCGTGACGAGCGAACGCTTTAACGACTAGGCTACCCCACCGCCCCTTTGCTTCAACTATAAATTCAACTTTGTTGACGACAATATCTGACTGTAACCTAGATGGTAATGGCTTTCATTCCAACATAATCCTCACTTGATTAAGGGTTTAACGAAAAACACAGCTTGCATTATATTCATTTAGTCTTTATTGATAAAGGAAGGTGGTATTTTTTCTTAGTCAAGAAAATTTAATGTTGCAAGTACCAGCACATATAAAAGCATCATGTGGAAATGTCATATATGTTTTCCAAGGAAAGTTCATATTAGCACCGTCTATGCCTGGGACGCATTGTCTTCCTTGATTGGTACACAGTTCATCATCGTTTTGTGCAATGCTTCTTCTGTGCTTTCGAATCAACTTCTTCTCAGTTTGGTGCAATGTTTCTCCCATGTTTTGTGCAGTGCTTCTTATGAGTTTTAGCTCTGTTTCCTTAATATATCGACACGGCTCCTTCTGTGTTTGGTGTGCTGCTTCTGACATGTTTAACCATACCGCTTATTCAGTGCTTCGGACACTTCTCCTTTCATGCTGGATGCTTCTGGTAATAATTTAAGCTTGGGACACTTCTACTTTCATGCTTGGGACACTTCTCCTTTCATGCTGGATGCTTCTGGTAATAATTTAAGCTAGGGGTGCTCCTTCTGTCATACTTGTTGTTCTGCTTCTCCTCAGTCTCCAGCATTGTTTCTTCCACGCGTACTGCACCGCATATCATTCCCTTCATGGTTTGTGATGTACTCAACAGTTGTGGTCCATTGGCAGCTTAAGGAAGGCTAGCTCTAACACATCGTGTAGAAACTCATACTGCCCCTGCAACAGAACAAATTGTTCAAATGGATAATAGATGGCAACTGCATTAAACACTTTCATCATTACTGGTTCTTTATGTTTTTCGTCTGTTTTGTGGGAAACCAGGGCTTATGTTTGAAGACATTCTTGAAGGAGGGCAATAAAGTCATTTAGACATTAAATTGCACATGTGTGACAAGAGAGAAATGACCGAACAGAAGGGAATATAATTTGGTTGGTTGTTGTTTAACGCCGCGCTCAGCAATATTCCAGCTATATGGCGGCGGTCTGTATCGAGTCTGGACCAGACAATCGAGTGATCAACATCTTGAGCATCGAACATGCAATTTGGATACGATGACATGTGTCAACCAAGTCAGCGAGCCTGACCACCCGATCCCGTTAGTCGCCTCTTACGACAAGCATGAGTTGCTGAAGACCAATTCTAATCCGGACCTTCACGGGTAGAAGGTAATGTAAACGGATAGTAATGAAACCAACCGCAGTTTGAACCATATTCATACGCTGGTATCTGAGTCTCTTCACACACTGGAACACATCCACGACACTCTCGGCTGTTGCCTGGTCCAGCAGATAGTCCAAAGCAATGAATGTTCCAGTTCTACCAATGCCGGCACTACAACGACAAATGGTATGTCCCTATTATATATCCTGGAAACATATTACAAAAGATATCGAAACATACCACTTACGCAACTAATAAGACATCATTCAATTTTGACCAACTAACATATCCAGTTTCTGGTTACCCCTAAGTATACTGATTATACAATATACTAATAAAATATACTGAGGGAAACAAATCAGGGAACATCACTGTATGGCAGTGTTCCTTTATTTACTCTAAGACCAAACCCCCCCACCCCCCCCCCCACAGCGCTATTCAAAGCTGGTGATGAAAACTGGAAAATATTAAAGAAACGCTTAAATTTTCCCATGTTCCTTTATTTTTTGTTTCCCTCATTATACGTATGACCACGTTCCAATGCTTCTGTCACATGATCTACTACAACCATTTGGTCCCCCATTCCAAAGTCGATGTTACTCATATTACCTGCAGTGTACAATGACAGGGCCAGCACCAAACGTTGCCCTGGCATGGTAGTGGAAGTCCAGAAGAGACTGGTCACTTGACGGCTGCCCATGGTCAGGCCATGCTGTGTAGTGGTACTGGCAAATCTGGTGGCCACGCCCACCTTCCTACAAACGATAATGTCAAGGTCGTTATGTGACACTGAAATGTGAAACATCATTTTACAGAATGATTTGTTGGCAATATCGATCGGAATATAAAGGCATTTGAAGGAATTCATTGTTGGTGTCAAAGGGACATTCCTTACTCATGCAATGTGGAAAATGAGATATTTGAAAACTTAGCGTATCCATCAAATATCAGTCTGCGAATATAATGTCAGATGACCACTCAACTGACTGGACGTTGTCCTGTACATGTACACTGTCCTTCATTTACCTGTGTCATGGGCGTTGTCCTGTACATGTACACTGTCCTTCATTTACCTGTGTCATGGGCGTTGTCCTGTACATGTACACTGTCCTTCATTTACCTGTGTCATGGGCGTTGTCCTGTACATGTACACTGTCCTTCATTTACCTGTGTCATGGGCGTTGTCCTGTACATGTACACTGTCCTTCATTTACCTGTGTCATGGGCGTTGTCCTGTACATGTACACCTGTCCTTCATTTACCTGTGTCATGGGCGTTGTCCTGTACATGTACTACACTGTCCTTCATTTACCTGTGTCATGGGCGTTGTCCTGTACATGTACACTGTCCTTCATTTACCTGTGTACCTGTCCTTCATTTACCTGTGTCATGGGCGTTGTCCTGTACATGTACACTGTCCTTCATTTACCTGTGTCATGGGCGTTGTCCTGTACATGTACACTGTCCTTCATTTACCTGTGTCATGGGCGTTGTCCTGTACATGTACACTGTACCTGTGTCTTCATTTACACTCTCCTTCATTTACCTGTGTCATGTCCTATACATTGATTTGTGCTATGACACTCATGTAAATGTACATCTGTACCATGTTATGGTCATGTTTTACCTTCTCTTTTAGTCGTATTATATATTCAATATCTTTAACCTGTACAATGGTAAATGTCCTTCACAAAGTCGCCTCTTTTACCTCCGATATGAACATTGTCCTGACGCTGTAGTCCATCCCGATCTCCTCCCGAACCGTCTGTACACAAGACCCGCCATATTGCTGAGCCGTTCCCACGTCAGGCCAGTACTTAACACACTTCATCTGGATAACCAGAACACAAGATAGTCATACAGATTGTCATACAGATAGCCATATAGATAGTCATACAGAAAGTCATATAGATAGTCATACAGATTATCATAAAGATGGCATACAGACTGTCATTCAGATTGTCATACAGACAGTCATGCAAATTGTCATACAGATTGTCATACACATGGCATACAGATAGTCATATAGATAGTCGTACAGATTATCAAACAGATGGCATACAGATAATCATACAGACAGTCATACAGATTGTCGTACATATTTCTATCTCTGCACAGACCATTGATCAATAGATATCCCTCGTGTAATGACTAACAGTATCACAATGCACTGCCATTCAGATGGAGAAACTGTCAGTACTAAAACATACCCTGTCATTTTCTAAAATGTTTGTCAGCATTATTATTGTCGTGGCCTCATAGTGACGAACCATGTCCCAGAAGTCGGCTGTTGTCTCTGGCAGAGGTCCTGTTTCAAACACACCAATTTAAATAAATCAGTTCGTGAGGACTACGTGTATTGGCATTTCTATCCAACGGAAAACCTCCAAATACAATGATAAGGAAAATTTAAAAAATAACTCGAGAATAACTCTGAAGTCATATTGCAATCATGAAATATAACTGCGAATACATGCATCATGTGTTTCTGGTAATCTTAAGCATTATTACAGATTCCATGGTTGGATTACATTCGAAGTAAAGCTGTTTGCATTGAAAGGGCATTGCCATTGAGATACGCTTTGGGATTATTTGTTCACATATGAACATGGTCAAACAGCGCTCACCTTGTGTAGCTATGTAGAATCGAGGTTTTCCGTATCCCTGTGAAAGAAACCAGGTATATCACCACAGTATACATGTATTATTATTATCTTTTTTTATAATAGGATTTTTATATAGCGCACATATCCAGGCAACTAGTACATGCTCAAGGCGCTGGTATTTCATAATTGCATATCTAAGAAATGATATTTAAGTTAGATAAAAGCTGATGTTCAGGTTACATGCGATTTACACAGGCTGCACGTCTTCCGGTGTATTTGATATAAACAGTGGTTACCCAAACATGGTAAACATGAATCATGTGTATTTTGACTGAAGAAGCAACAGCCTTGTGGCCAGAGATTCGACTTCAGTCACTGCATCAGCTTCACATGTTTACTGTCTCAGGTCCTTGTGAAATGAATGAATGAAATGTCAATATTTCGTAGTCGGCAACAATAGTCAAGCTATAGACTGCGGGTAGTAATAGGCACGACTTGGGCAATGGTTACGGTATCACAAGTGATTCCGTCGGTGGGGCAGGGTGAGCGAGCAAACCTGCTCTGTGTTGTCCCTAAAATTACCGTAAAGCGTCAAATATCAACTTGAAAAGGGTAACTGAGGAACTGGTGGCTCAGGCATCTAGAGTCCCACCAGAGAGCATGATAAGTAAATCAATCCAGTTAATTTGGTTTCGTACAAGTAATTACATTTTTCCAGAAAAAGTGAAGTGATGTTATGGACTAACGGGTCGGTGGGGTAGCCTAGTGGTTAAACCGTTCGCTCGTCAAGCCGAAGACCCGAGTTCGATCCCCACATGGGTACAATGTGTGAAGCCCATTTCTGGTGTTCCCGCCGTGATATTGCTGGAATATTTTACCAGCGTAAAACCATACTCACTCACTCCTACGTGAGAGAATCTTGGGACCTATTCAAGCTTCTTAAAGCGTTCAGTCTTCACGCCGAAGAACCGGGTTCAATTTCACCCATGGCTACAATGTGTAAAGCCCATTTCTGGTGTCCCCAGCCTTGATATTGCTGGAATATTGCTAAAACTGCGCTAAAACGGCGTTAAACTAGACTGACTGACTGACTCACTCACTCGCCTCACCCTGTTAGACTGCACTTACATTAATGTGGCTTGCGTTGATGTAATCACTCGCCCTCTCGCTGCCAGGGAGAATTACTCGACAGTGGTCGTCTGGAACGAAATATATGCATCAGTCTGCTATAGAATCAGTGTCCGTAACATGGATCGATTATGGAAATAGGAATATTTGCTGAATGAAAGACGCTGAAGACCGAGCAGTCTATTGCCGTAGTGGAATGAAACATGGGTATGTGTCTTTGCTAGAGATTAACTGTTAACTACGTCATCAAAGTACATAGGAACAGTACATACATGGATGCATGTTCTTGAATCTGTTTTGTCCGAGGTTGGCAGGCCTCTTAGCGTCAGCACACATTGCAAGCTCGCCTTTTGGTAGTTCCTGCAACAATAACACAGTGTTTGAACATCCTCTTGCGATTCTAAGATAGTAACTTTCAACTCATGTCAAAACTTTACGCGTCGAATAACCTGCGGTTTTCTATGCATTATCTTTTCAAGAATATATTCACAATTGCTGATTGCTAACAAATTAATTTACAGCAAGGTTAATTATATAAATTGGGTCAAACTTACTTCAAACTGTTGTATGAACCCGCCATAAAGCCTCATTCTGTGTATGTAGTCCGTGAAATGCCGGCACGCCACTGCTGTTGTCTTGAGTCTGGGGGGACTCAACCCAACCTGTCCGCCACATGCTGGAGTCATTGCTTCAACCTCAAACGTCGCGGACTCACGGTCACCAACCTGCTGAAGTCCTTCTGTAGGTCGGAATGTCTCTGATGCATCCAACTGGTGGTCATAATATACGCTGAACCTGGGTACAGACATGATCCTGTCAGCGCCTGTATGATTGAAGGTGACGATTCCATTTTTGGTCTGTCCTGTTCTGGAATATCCGATTGGGGTTCTTGACTGGTGTGTTACTTCATGGCCGTCGCTTAAGCTTCTTCTGTAGCGTTGTTCTTTGGTCTTGGCCATGTGCTTCAAACGCGCTCCTTTAGTCTCCATACAGTCACTGATCTCGTGGTTGTGCTGAACCTCGCTCCGTTGTTGACGGTCGAGACGACATTGTGACACTGTTCTGCCTTTAGTAAAACAGCGCTGATGGCCACTAGTGTTGATATCATTATTTAGTCTGTAAGGCTTCATATCATTTCTCTGGTTACTGTATTTATGTAAAGCGAGGAATTCTTCTGTGTCATGCAAGGTAACATGTTATTCTTCTCGTCCTTTAGCGACAGTCGATTTGATGCAGGATAAAAATCTGAAAGATTTACAAATGTATGAACATTACAGCAATATATTTCTTTCACAGCTCACAATAATTCTGCCCATGTCTCTCTTTCTTTGTGAGTGTTTATGCGTATTTCTGATTGGTTGTTTGTTATGTATACGTGAACAAATCGTTCTGAAGAGGTGCTTCCCTTTGATGTACTAGAAACCTGTGATCGTGAATTTGGCCTGTCTATGATCCTTTTTTTTCTGGGCTAATCGGTTTAAATAAATTAACTATATGCCCTAGGGCTGCACCGATTCGGATTCGATTCATCGCAAATCGAATCTGACACCTTAGTTTCGATTTTCGATAACGACTATCACTATTTCGATTCGATATTTGAGTGTTCTGTGTTTAAACATATTTTATTTGTTTGTAAAAGGTTAGATTATTTACATTCCTGATTTCCTAGTCAAATCTTGGAAAATGTTTTCAGTGTTATATGTTTTGTTTAATAAACTCTGAGAGTTAAATGAAATCTGATGCTTTTACTTGTATGAAGAACCGAATAAAAAATGATCGGATTGAGGGTCTAGTATCGAAAATCGAAATCGAATCGAGGTCTGAGTGAATGGTTGGAGCCCTGATATGCCTACGAGATAAGAGTTACATCACATTAGGATTTGATCTCACGTCAACCTCACAGGCTATCGTATAACTGAAGGAATGTTGAACACTCACTCACCCGAGTTAACGTTGAATTCCTTGTTGATTGAATCAAACGAATCATCTGAGGTAATTGTTCTTCTTTTGTTCAGCCACTTCAAACAGCGGCGTAAGATATGCCCATCCTCTTCCTTTCTTAATAGTCTCTTTCTGGAAATACAAGTTCGACATGAAAACGAAAACCTCAACATGGGAAGAAATATCGACCATAAGCCTTGCTTTAAAACACACGTATAATAATTCATGTTGATGTTTTTTGTGTATATTTTCTTGTCTATATACAAACAGGAGTGGTAGTCGTTAAAACAATGGGTGAGTTGAATTTTACATCGCTTTGAACAGTAGATCCAGGAATATCACGGATTAGGAGTAGGAGGGAAGCCCAAAGGTCTGCAGCTGTTAGTGTTTACCACGAGGAAACACACGAACACGGGTATGACAAAACCAGAAACACCAGGGCGAATATAGGATCTCAAACCACGATGATAGGTTTTTGAACGTCTAAGGCGACGCAAGTCTCCACGGCGAACTATAGCAAAACATGATCAGAGACATCAGAGTAGGGATCTACGCCGCTTTTAGCAATATTCCAGCAATATCACTGCGGGGACACCAGAAATGGGTTTCACACATTGTACCCATGTGGGGAATCGAACCCGGATCTTCAGCGTGGCGAGCGGACGCTTGCACCATTAGGCTACCCCACAGCCAACATTTTACAAAAGGTACATGGGTGTGTATGGTGGAAACAATGGCTGACTCACATAAAACAAACGGTGGGTACACCAATGGCTGACAGCCACATAAAACAAACGGGGGTAGAACATCCTGGTTTTGCATATTCTGTAACAGGAAGACAGCCGTCATCATGAACATGGTAACCACCAGGGTATAGATAGAACACTCCTGGTTTTGTATATTCTGGTTTGGTATATTCTGTAACAGACATTGGTTTCTAGTTCAGTAACATTAGAATAGACTGTCAGAATTAATATCCTAAATTTCATAAACATGGCATATTTTATGTGACTTAGTTCCTTATTTTATCATGGACAAAGTGATTGTGTGCAGCAAGTCAAGGTTAACGCCACTTATCACCATGATATGTAAAATGGGTGACCGACGTGATACATGTGAAAGGGCTAATCGTACATTGGGATCCACGAACAAAGCTCCTGGCACGTCTAAGGGACGTTACTCTTCCAAGCAAACTTTTACCTCACCTTCACAATTTTCCCCGGTCCAACCTGCAAAGCACTTGGAACACGCGCCACTTTCCTGGTCGCATATACTGCAATGTTGTGAACATCCTAACGAACAGTTGTTGCCATGGTAACTTGATATACAGCCATCCATGCATGTGCCGGTGTTATTGCATTTCCTGTCAAAACAGTTCATGCTACAGTTTTTCTCACAGTGATGTCCATAAGTATTCTGTTTACATTCCATGCACAATCCTGATGATCTGTTACATCGGAGGCAGTCTTCATCACAAGGATGCTCACAATATTTCCCCCAGAAGCCAGCAATACATCCGATGGAACATTCCAGTCCAGATCGGTTCCGGCACTGGCGTTCCATACAGGTACTGCTACAGGGCTGGTCACATGACATTCCATACATCGTGGGAATACAGCCCAACGAACACTCACCGGTTGATTGGTCACATTTGGATGACAGACAACCACTGTTGCAAGACACGCTGCAATAGTCACCATGGTAACCGTCTTTACAGCCATCTGTACATTTACCGTCACTGAATCTGCATTTACTTCTGCATTTGTCGCAGACAATACACTTGTGTCCGTACCGACCGTCTGTACACGTTGTGCAATTGTCTCCATATTGTACACAGCTCTTGCAGTGTTTGGGACACGTTTTGTAACAAGTGTCACCTTGAAATCCCTCGGTGCAGTTGTGACACTTTCCGTTTTGGTGACATCTCCCACCGAGACAGTTCACAGAACAAGTCATGTCACAGTACTTCCCATAAAATCCAGATTGACACCCATCCACACATTCTCCACTTTTCATCTTACAATTCTGGAAGCAATTCTCTGGGCAAGCATCTTCACACATGTCTCCATAGGTTCCGTTCTGGCAGCCAAGGTAGCAGGTCCCGTTCCTGAAACATCTACCCAGAAGACAGTTGCTGCTACAACTCTCACTGCATGAAGGTCCATACCAGGGCGATGTTAGGGAATGTACACTAGTGTTCACACACCCGTATTTACAGGCTCCAGTAGAGTAGTTGCAGTATCCCAGCATGCAGTGCTGGTTGCAGGTCCTGTTACAACTGCCTTCTCCATAAAATCCCCGTTTACACGTGACACAACTTGTATCTTTACAGTTGTCTTCAAGGTTAACCCATGTGTCCACAGCGTTCGTAGATGGCGAAGTCGCAGGAGCTGAACCTAGAATGATTCAAAGTGTTCATTGGCATATATGTTTGGCATACAATTTACCCCCTTTTACCTCGATCCCCATTTTTGTGGTCCGACAAGCATGGTGTGCTTGTGAGTTATGCAGCCAGGCCCCTGGGGGTGATACTTTCGGAACAGGGAATGCTGTGTTGTCCCAATAATTACCGTAAAGGGTCAAATTTGTAACAGAGTAACTCTTGGCTCAGGCATCTAGAATCCTATCACAGAGCATGTTGAGTAAAACTATCCCTTTGGTTTCGTACCAAAACAATCAATGTCGACAGTGATGTCACAGACAAGTTGGGCGGAGGAGTGGCCAAGTGGTGAAATCGTTCGATCGTCATGCCGAAGACCCGGGTACAATTCCCCATACGGGTACAATTATATATCTCATTTCTGGTTTCGATCGCCGTAATATTACTGGTATAACAGCGGCGAAAAACCATACTCACTCACTCATGGACTAGTTATCAAGTATCACTCGAGTAGAACACAACATTAGTTCGCCCAAGGGCCCCCGTTCGATAAAGCGATCGTAGCGCTAAGGTGATCGTAACTCCCATACTTTAACATAGACTGTCGCAGCACTACGATCGCTTTGAGGAACGGGGCCCTGGTTTTCACCAATAATACGCACTCCATCAGCTGAAGATTAACACAATATTCGACTAGGGTATTAACTGTGAATATGAACAAAGTGGCACTTACTGAATCCTAGTATGATCTCTTCCTTGAAGGACAGGAGAAGAACCAGCATCAGCCTGAACTGTAGGGACGGGTGGACATTAAAGGATTTGTTTTGTAGCAAACATGAAAACGAAACTGATTTGTTAAATGAGCTACCATGTGAAGCAGGGTGTTATAACTTGCTGACATAGACCATTCCTGCACAATAACATGGTAAGCGAGCTCTACATTTCATTTCATAGATTTTGTCTCGACAAAAAAGTTTTCAGACCAATCCTATTGTTATATATAAAATTAAAAACTTACGATACGATAACATATATACCACGCAAGCCTAAGGCTGACACTTTTGCAACATAAATTGTTTCTTTCAGCGAAAGTTATGGTTGTTTCGATTATTTTCTCGTTGCTTCAAATTTTCTTTAAAAAGAGTGTTTTTGAAAGAAACATGAACGAGAAAATACTCGAAGCAACGAACAAATTTTGAAGCAACGAAAAAATAATCGAAACAACAAGTTTCTTTTGAAAAACATTGAGTTTTTGAAAGAAAATTGGAGCAACGAGAAAATACTCGAAGCAACGAGAAATTTATTGAAATTTCAAGTATTTGACAGAAGCTTGAAGTAATGAGTAAATACTCGAAATTTCAAGTAACGAAAAAATATTCAAAGCAACGAATAATTACTCGAAATGTCAAGATTTTTTACATAAGCTTGAAGTAACGAGTAATTAGTCGAAATTTCAAGTTTTTTACAGAAACTTGAAGTAACGAGAAAATACTCGAAGCAACGATAAAATAAAAGAAATAAGGAGAAAATAATTGAAATAACGAGAAAATACTCCCAAGCACCGATCAGATAATCGAAGCAACGAGAAATGTCGCTAAAAAAATGTGTTAGGCTCCAAAATTACTACTGCTAGATAAAATAGATACAATGAAACAGGCACACCAAAACGAAAGAATACATCTTTACTCAAAATGATATGGAAAAACTTACATGCGATCAGCAAAAATATAACATATTATATTAATATGACAGGAACAGCTCAGAGTATAAAGACACAGAACACCTCCACATATCACACTCACCTGCTGCCTGGTGAACATTCTGTGGAACACGTTCAATACTGTGTTGCCTAAACACAAGGCTGCTGCGTGTGACACTGACACAAGGCTGGAGCGTGTGGCACTGACACAAGGCTGGAGCGTGTGGCACTGACACAAGGCTGGAGCGTGTGGCACTGACACAAGGCTGGAGCGTGTGGCACTGACACAAGGCTGGAGCGTGTGGCACTGACACAAGGCTGGAGCGTGTGGCACTGACACAAGGCTGGAGTGTGTGGCACTGACACAAGGCTGGAGTGTGTGGCACTGACACAAGGCTGGAGCGTGTGGCACTGACACAAGGCTGGAGCGTGTGGCACTGACTGGAGTGTGGCACTGACACAAGGCTGGAGTGTGTGGCACTGACACAAGGCTGGAGTGTGTGACACTGACACAAGGCTGGAGTGTGTGACACTGACACAAGGCTGGAGTGTGTGGCACTGACACAAGGCTGGAGTGTGTGGCACTGACACAAGGCTGGTGTGTGACACTGTGTGGCACTGACACAAGGCTGGAGTGTGTGGCACTGACACAAGGCTGGAGTGTGTGGCACTGACACAAGGCTGGAGTGTGTGACACTGACACAAGGCTGGAGTGTGTGACACTGACACAAGGCTGGAATTTGGGGCACTGACACAAGGCTGGAGTGTGGCACTGACTCAAGGCTGGAGTGTGTGACACTGACACAATGCTGGAGTGTGTGGCACTGACACAAGGCTGGAGTGTGTGACACTGTTATAATGTGCTATTGGGAACTCACACAACAGTGTACTCTAGAGTACTATCAAAACAGTAGGGATTGCGTGTCGAAAACAAGTCATGGGATGTGTGACGCACCAGATTATGTTTCAGAACGTGTACAATAAGTTTCATTTTCCTGACATCTCGCTTCCCACGCAGTGGACCTCTCGTTATGCGTAGTAAAATTATTTCAAAGGCACACCCACGTGCACGCTGACCATGTACCCAGCACACATTGTAAGTATGCAAAGTTTTCCATTTTTGAGTTAATTAAAACATATAAATTGGTTATCAGGTGCACAATGAAACACAAATCGAGTTTGTAGAATAACTTCCAATTGCAGTGTGTTTGTGTGTGCGTGCGTGTGCGTATGCGTGCGTGCGTGCGTGCGTGCGTGCGTGTGTGTGTGTGTGTGTGTTGGGGAAATTGCATCCATGAGCTTTCTTCGTTGTCAAGGCATGTACTCCTTGACAGAACTTAAGTACTAATCCAAGCGGAGTTAATCCCAACCCAGTCACACACTTATAGTCCCCACCCCACCACAGATCCCCCCACCACCCACCTGCCTTTCAATTTGTATGAGGGACCGTTCATAATTTATGGCTAGGGGAGGTGATGATGATTTTTATGGAGAAGCATGTACAGTGTGAATACTACCCCCCAAAAAATTTATGTACAAAATAAGTGACCCCCCTGTATGTCATGTACAAAATCAATGACACACCCCTTCCCATAATTTCTAAGCATAATTTTAAACATATTTTATGTACAAAATTGCTGAACCCACCCCACCCAACCCCACTAGTACGTGTGTACAAAATTGATGAACCCCTAGCTCCCCAGAACAAAATGGGTGACCCCCCCTTAAAATCATCATCACCCCCAGCCATAAATTATGAACGGTCCCTAAGCACATCAAAGGTAGAAAGGGAGGTCTTTTTACGTATCTGTTAACAGTACTGTATATCATGTGAGATTCGAGAAACACGTAAGTGAATAAAACTTCAAAGAAATGGGTCCGTGTATGATGCGTATGCATATTACACAAATAGAAAATCCCGTTTCCTTGTCACGAGATCTCGTGTCACGTGATAGGTCATGCATAACTAGATTACAAGTACTAAGCACAGAACATATATGTCACTCGTCTTGTTATACGGTTCCCAAAACCTATAGTATTCTCAAACGTAGAAAATATGTTTTGTTTATCGTCTGTCATGGTTTTTATGCCATGTCAGGATGTACGGGTACCACAGTTGGAGCAGGATGCGCTCACCTTTTCGAGAACATTTTGTATTGTCACTGTTTATGAACGATTCATAAACACATGGTCACAATATAGCAGGATACTGCACACTCGACTGCGTATGGCGTAGATTTATTTAAATTCTAGAAAAAGTTTGGTCTCTTTTATTTTATAACATTGGATTTATATAGCCCTGCAAAGAGCGTATTTCTTTTTGTGGTCGTGCGAGGAAATGTTCCAACCCGAGAACCTTCCTGGCTTGTCACATGCAATACTCTTTTAAATAATCTGGATCAGAACATCCTGTGAATGATATCATGAGCATTGATCTAAGCAGTTGGGATACGATGACATGCATGGAGTATGGGTTGCTGGCGACCAGTTCTTACACGGATCTTTACCAGCAGCAACGTCTCTAGGCGAAGAGACACCATGGTAAAACATTACATCCATGTAGAAATCGACCCCGTCTTGTCAAAATATCCCACGAACGCTTTAATCTGCCATAATCTTCACCACTTGGAGATAGAATAAAAAGAAACCCTCAATAAAAACACAACAATTTTATTCAGATCGGCAACTATGTACAAATTATATACAAGGAACTAATGAACACTTCTGTATTTAAAATCTAAAGGTAAACAATGGCCATATAGAGGAGACTGAACGGCGTACCCTCCTGCTATTATTTTATCAGACAAACGCTTATTACATTGTCTGTACGAGGACTACCCGTGGTGTGTGTATAATGTACAAGTGTATGTTGTGACCCGGGGTGAGCAAAGGAGAACACCGAAACGGTACACAACTTCAGAGAGTGGGTACAATACGTCACAGGGTTGATACAATACGTCAAAGGGTGGGTACACTACTTCACGGGGTGGATATACCACTTCACCGGGTAGATACACTATCCCACGGGGTGGAAACACCACTTCACATGGTGGATACACTACTTCACACAGGGTAGATACACTACCTCACGGGATGGAAACACCACTTCACATGGTGGATACACTATTTCTAAGGGTGGACACAACTCGACACTGGGCAGAACGCCACAGGACGACTCCTCACTTGCCATCTTGGCACCTTGGGTTATCTTCAGTTGGAGGATCCTTTGACCGAGAGCCAGTGCCAACACATCGTGCAGTAGTTCATAGTCACGCTGTAGAAAGAATGTTTAAAGTTTGATAAAATATAACATGATCATAATTTGTTACGATTACATTTAACCACAGAAAACTGGCCATATGCCAAACATTTATGAGTGTTGTTTTCTACCTTCATTTCCCACGTAAGTGTTTCAACACACAAGTGTTTCAACACACAAGTGGTTTTCAAACGTAACTACGCGCAGTGGACAATGTATCCAAGATTTACATGACTGTTCTCGCCAAGTATACAAACTATACCATAACATGATATATCATTATGTATAACATAAATCAATCGTTGGCGTCAAGTCCAGAATCACACTTCAGGCACATCCAAGGGAGGCAACTCTACCCAGCGAGTTTCGACGATTAGGCCACCTGAACATCCATATCACGAAAAAGGAAAAACGTTTGTTACATCACTATACCTGGTGGTGAACCATATTCATACGCTGGCATCTAAGCCTCTTTACACACTCGAAAACATCAACACCACCTTCCGCTGTAGCCTGGTCCAGCAAATAGTCAAGAGCAATGAATGTCCCCGTTCTCCCCACTCCAGAACTGAAGAAACAACATCAAATTCTACAATGTATGGCGGCCATGATGTGGGCAGCTACAATACATAAAACAAGACCTTGAGCAATACATTGAACAATACATTAGATAATACATTGAACAATACATTGGATAATACATTGGATTACACATCGGACAATACATTTAAAGATAGTTTGTAAACTACATTGAACAATACATTGAAAAATACATTGAACTATACATTGGATAATACTATAAGCAATACCATGAACAATACATTGAACAGTACATTGAGCAATACATTGGACAAGACATTGGACAATACATTGAATAATACATTGAAAAATACATTGAACAATACTACATTGAATAATACATTGAACAATACATTAGATAATACATTGAACAATACATTGAATAATACTTTGAGGAATACATTGAAAAATACATTGAATACATTGGATAATACATTGAACAATACATCAGATAATACATTGAACAATACATTGAATAATACATTGAACTATACATTGAATAACACATTGGACAATGCATTGGGCAATACATTGAATAATACATTGAACTATACATTGGACAAGACATTGGACAATACATTGAATAATACATTGAAAAATACATTGAACAATACATTGAACAATACATTAGATAATACATTGAACAATACATTGAATAATACATTGAACAATACATTGGATAATACATTGAACAATACATTGAATAATGTTTGAGGAATACATTGAGCAATACATTGAATAATCCAGTGAACAATACATTGAACAATATATTGGATAATACATTGAACAATACATTAGATAATACATTGAATAATACATTGAGCAATACATTGAAGAAGACGTGGAACAATACTTTGAGCAATACATTGGATAATACATTGAACAATACATTGGATAATACTTTGAGCAATACATTGAACAGTACATTGAGCAATACATTGGACAAGACATTGGACAATACATTGAATAATACATTGAACAATACATTGGTTAATACATTGAACAATACATTAGATAATACATTGAACAATACATTGAATAATACATTGGACAAAACATTGAGCAATACATTGGACAAGACATTAGGCAATACATTGAACAATACATCGAAGAAGACATTGAATGTCCCCGTTCTCCCCACTCCAGAACTGAAGAAACCACATCAAATTCTACAATGTATGGCGGCCAAGCTGTGGGCAGCTACAATATATAAAACAAGGTCTTGAGCAATACATTGAACAATACATTGAATAATACATTGGACAAGACATTGAACAATACATTGAGCAATACATTGTATCGCACAGCCGTGACTCGTTGTCCAAAACAAGGGATGTTCAAATAGCTAATAAGAGTGGGATACGAGCTTTTGACTACATGCTTAATATTAAATATACAAGTTTCAGTACTTAAGTAAACATGAAAGAACCAGTTATCTAACTTGACATGGTCTGTAGAGACAGAATCATTCGAAGCTTAGTTTGTTACCTGCAATGCACCACGAGGGGTCCAGCAGCACACGCCCCCTTCACCTCTGTGTGGAAGTTGAGAAGAGACTGTGTGTCCACTGGTTGGCCGTAGTCAGGCCATGCTGTATAGTGGTAGTGGACCAAACTGTGGACATCTTTCTGACCTTTCTGTCAATGTTGAAAGTAGAAGAAGACCAAATGAAAGGTGTTTGAATAAAGACTATTTTTATGGTCTGCTTTTGAGTCTAAAAGGAGATGATGACGAATTTCTGTATTGTTCCAGACATTTAAGTAATAGCATATGAGAAGCTGAACCAATATCTTTGGTTAAACTGAGGTTAATAAACTTCTTTACTGATATACATTATGCAAGTTTAAGTAGCAGACAAAGAAAGTGTTGTTTGACGTGCTGGAATCCCATGTTCAAGGATTGCCATACAGTCTGACACTAGTCTCTACTTCAACCTTTGTAAAGTGATACCAAATCTGAACCATGATACCATGCCAGATTGAACCTTATCTGTCTCAGACTTATGATACAGCAGAAACTTGGTTAAGACATCTTCCCTGTTGCATCCCTAACACATTGTTTTGCATAAACGTGTCACGTGATTCGAATTTTAATTAATGTTTTGAAATGGTTAGTAAAATACCAAAAGTTTCAATTGGATGTAATTATTCATAAATCATAAAGTAATTTGTTATGTTTACTGAGATTTTTCTGACTGAAACGTTTGCTTTACTCGAAGCTGTAGTTTTGTCAGGGCTTGCATGTTTAATGTGGGAAGTGGGCCCAGATAGGAACAATTCGAATACGTATCTCTTTGTATAGCCTCAGAAAACGTAAGACTGGCCTTTTAGATAATACTCGGTGCGGTACGAACCGCCACGTTACTACAAAGCGACGCAACTATTCCCACCAAATCATAGGATAAAATGGGCTAAGTAACCATGCAGCAATATTGAACTTATATGCTTAGCTACATCATCTTTGGAACGATGAACCAGAAGCAGAAACACAGTCACAGACTTCCCCCATTTTGAATACGACCTTTTGTACCTGTGATATGGAGAATGCCCTGATTGTGTAGTCCGCCATGGCCATTTCCCTGACAGTCTGGACCCGGAAGTCCCCATATTGGTCAACACACTCAAGATCTGGCCAGTACTGGCGACACATTACCTGCCAGACAGTGAATATATATATCAACATTTTGAATACTGTAAAGTCCAGTTATAGCGAACTCAAAGGAATCACTAATGAGTGTAGTTTGCTAAATGCGTAGCTCGTTACAACCAAGTTCGTTCTAAACATGGTTTACTGTTTGTTGGTGTTCGGTGGATAAAGACTGTCGAAGAGAAGGAGAAGCGTGGTTCGATACCCGTGACGTCATATCAATACACAGTAAACGACGCTACATGTTGTTACCCTGACTGGAGCATTGCATTAAGAGAAGTGAGTGAGTATGGTTTTACGCCGCTTTTAAAAAATCCAGCAATATCATGGCGGGGAACACGAGAAATGGGCTGCACACATTGTACCCATGTGGGGAATCGAACCCTGGACTTCGGCGTGACGAGCGAACGCTTTAACCACTAGGCTACCCCATCCCCATCACCCCTGCATTAAGAGGATGGTTGGTTGCTGTCTGAGTTTGGTATTCACATTACACTGAGTCATCACGGTGAGCAGCAGTATATACCACCGGTAGAAGTCTGGACAAGGACAAGCAGCCACAAGGACACGCGAACGTACGCACACGCACACGTACCTGTACATCACTCTATAAGTGCAAATATACTGAGTCAAATAAGAAACTTCACATTCTTTCTTCGAGCACTATAAATTATTATTTCATTGCTGAGATCTGTGTGATGTACTCGATACACTGACAGTGCCATAATCAGTTCCATTAGGCTACAACGCCGTTCCAAAACATGGGTATACAGAATGTCAAGTCACAAGAATAAAAATGCGAAATTTCTCAGTTCAATATCGTGTATGGCCGCCCCGCGCATTCACCACTGCCAAACACCGTCTCCTCATCGACTGCCTGATGCTTGTGAACACGTGGTTGGGGATTCTGCGCCATTGCTCTTGCAAGGCAGCGCCAAGTTCCTGCAAATTCTGAGGTTGGTTCCTAAGACCACGAAGCCTTCTCCCAAGTGCATCCCAAACGTGCTCTATTGGATTAAGGTCAGGGGACCTCGATGGCCAGTCCATGACGTTGATTCCAGCGTTTTGAAGGAAATTTCGTGTCAACATCGCGGTATGCGGCCGAGCATTATCATGCTGGAACTGTAGACCTGGGCCATGAGCCGCCATGAAAGGAACGAGTTCAGGGTGAGCACCTGGTCGCGGTAAGCAGCAGCTGTGAGGTTTCCACGGATGACCAGAAGTCGGGAACGGTTGTTCCCACAGAAAGCACCCCACACCATGCAACTTCCGTCCCCGAATCTGTCGACTTCCTGTACACAACATTGGGCATACCGTTCACGACGTCGTCTCCAGACTCTATGCCTGCCGTCCGCGAATCTGAGGGTAAACCTGGATTCATCGCTAAAGACGACTCGATTCCAGTCTCTCTGGGTCCATCGGAGGTGCCGTTGGGCCCACAGCAGACGTTGACGTTGATGAAACGGCGTCAATATTGGCCAACGATATGGACGTCGAGAATGGAGATTGGCAGCCCGCAACCGATTTCGAATGGTCTGTGAGGACAGTCGACCTCTAAACATCTCAGCCCTGGTTCGTGTAGCCGGCAGAAATCTGTCACGTAGGTGACGTAGGACGATTTGACGGTCTTCTGCTCGTGACGTCACACGTGGACGACCCGACCTTGGGCGAGCAACATGCCAACGGCACGTTCACGTTGCACATTTGACAATCGTGGCATTTCAAGTACCGTTAGAACTGTGGTTTAACAGTGTTTTTTCAATTCTTGTGGCCAATGCAAACACGTGCATATGAAGAAAACTTCGATGCGAAGATCACGTGATCGACTGCACGTGCAAAACCTGATTTGGCACTAACGTCATTTGCACGACGAATGGATGGGTTTGAGTGGGTTTTGCTAACGTTTTCCTAGAGTCGAAAGATAGGGATCCCTTTTCGGATACATAGATGTATCATCAGAGAAAAAATATAATCATTATTTTTCAAATTACATTTTGTGAAGTTTCTTTTTTTTGACTCAGTATATTATAAAGGGGAAATCCGGCTCCACTTCACCTACAATATAAACTGTTACAGAGGCATTCTAAAAGTTGTAAGTAATAGGGATGACAAGTCTTTATGAAGGATCACCTTCTTTATTTCTATCAAGGCTATTTCATCCCATTTACTTTTGTACAAAGACTTACTTTGCCGTTTTCATGAAGGTTTGTCAGCATGACGATTGTGGGAGCACCAGTTTGGAGTACCATGTTCCAAAAATCGGGTATTGTGTCTTGTAATGGTCCTGTTGAATATAATTCAACAACACTGAACACATGCAGTTGCTGAACGATTCATATTAACCTTTCTCTAATATATGTCCATGTGGATTGTTACAGGAGAAACTAGTCATATTGAAACTGAATCATTTTGAACTATCTAATCACGGAAAACACATTTCCTCATATGGCATATTGTCAGCATCGACTTATAGGTGCTTAGACAGAAGCAGTAAGCCGAATATTTTAACTACAAATAGAAAAATACACATGAACAAAAGAAAAAGTCAACAGAGAAATAGCTTAACCATTAGAGAAATGATCATCTACTTTATATCAATGTTAAGATAAATGAAAACATCACGCCTGCAGTGGAATTGATCCTAAGTATACGACGTCGCTTTACCCAGTATGTTGTATTAGTGAGTGAGTGAGTTTGGTTTTACGCCACTTTTAACAATATTCCAGCAAGATCATAGCGGGGCACACCAGGAATGGGCTTCACACATTGTACCCAGTATGTTGTATTAAGTGCTATGTGGCATATGTCTGTGTTAAACGTGGTATATGCCATGAACTTGTTCTATATCAGTGTGTTATATGTCTGTTATACGCGGTGTTATATATCTGTGTTATATCTATGTTATATTTTGCTTTATATCATTGTGTTACTTGTCAGAGTTATATCAGTGTCTTATATACCCGTGTTATATAAGGGTCTATATCAGTGTGTCTGTCTGTATAATATGTGTGTTATGTGAGATGCTAAGCTAACTAAGGGTACAAGCAACATTTGGTTGTCGTAGAGGTATATTGAGTGTCCAAAGTTTGAGGTGATACGACATAAACCGACTCTTAGCCAACAAAGAAACTATCTTTATTAAACAAAGGCTCGAAGATGACCTATCGAGTCAGGACTCCACATTCCAGCCTACAATGGCAGATACTGACCTTGAGAAGCGATGAAGAAACACGGCTTTCCATAACCCTGAAACATTCATTGGCCATCTCAGTATATATATAGTGTCTTTGTCTCTTTTCTTGTAAAGCGATTCTTTGCTTTGGGGAATAGGTTATATACAAACATCAGTTGATATATTGTGTATTAACGTGTTGAATGCTGCAGCTGTGCCATTAATGTAGCAAGTATTTCATCGCTTTTCATAAACGTGGAGCTCTGTTTTCATCGATCACTTGATTGTCTGGATTGTTTACTGTTAGCAGTACTGCCTTGTGGCGTTGGTCTGTAAATATTTACTTTTTAAGGCAAATTGTGTGAACACCTGTTTTGCCATCACCGATTTGGTCAGTTATTTTGCCCTTTACACCAAATGTTTCTGATGTGAGACAAGACCTGGAATTGTTTTGTTCCTGACTTTCATATTATTTTCTTCCCAAATATTAGCTGCCCATGTGTCACGGCTGTAGCTGGTTGAGAACAATGGTATCTTTGGGTTCACAGACGAACAATGACTGGTTTCGGTTTCAGGGTCGCTTTGTTGGGTTTCAGTGAAGGACATGCATCGAGTTCCCCGTCTGTCTGAACCATCACTGGTTCGAGTTAATTAGGTACAATTTCCATACTGCATTCCTTTATGCTACTTTCCATAGACTATTTTCCAAATCAAATCGAGTTCGAAACATACATAAAAATATTGTTTTAGAGAAATATACTACAAAACAACGAAGTCGTCTCCATTAATTCGAATTAGTCCAACAGTTACATAGTTTTCTGACATGCTGTGAATATTACTGTCCATGCACAACAGAAGTGAACACTACTTCACCATACATGCAAGTTAAAACAACCAGTAAACAGATAAACCAACTGCCTTGTTTACATTTCGCATTGTTATAATAAACGAAGGTGCGTATGCTCGAAGTGATTAAATCTGGAAAAAAATATTACACATAGCTCCCAATCCATTTCAATCATGCTATCCATTAAGACTCTCTCTCTCCATTAAGACCTGATCCAGTTAAAGTAAACACAGCCGTACATACATTTATGTAACTGGCGTTGATGTAGTCGTTCCCTCTCTGGCAGTCTCCACTTTGTAGCTTTAGGCGTGAATGATCATCTGCAAATGATTCCAAAAGAATGTACACTTGTAAATAATTACACTCCTAGTAATCGTAACATGGCTGATTAATATGTTAATATGTTACTTTTAAGCAATTTTATGAATATGATACGAAAGAGTATCGCTTATTCGGGACTACACATTAACCGCTCAGCTTGATTTAAGCACACCCAACACTTACAGGGAAGTATGTTCATATATCGATTCTTTCGGCGGTTCGTTGTTGTCTTGCCCACCAAACATGCGGCGAGCTCTCCACCCGGCAAGCCCTGAAGCAAAAACGTAAACAAGAATAATTGGATACAGGTCTTATGAAGAGATATTGTCATGATCAGACAGTCTGCCATCAAAGTTATTACAAAACAACACACTTGTCATGTACTAACGATAGAGCAGCATTTGCACACACAATCAGATTATTTGTATACTCTTTAAAAAGTAGGGGAACTTCATTTTCAATTTACGATTGAAAAATTGGGAAATATATAGTCAATTAATGTTGATATAATAATAATGAATGTTTTGAGAGTGCATCACCACTTGAACTTATGATCTTTGTTGTTTGTACAGTAATCGCTCTTGAAAGATGACTGGTGTGTTACGTGAAATTTGCATGTGTACGATTTTCATTTTCAAAAAAAAAAAAAGCCGGCAAGAAACAAACACTAACAACTGTGTGATGCAAGATGATTGTCAAAATTAACACTGATTTATCCACCTTCTTGAAAACCGGCAAAATCAAGATTGACACGCCATGCACGTGTATGCGGTTACTGCGTTGTGCACGTGCATCCCATACATTGTGTTTAGGGGTGGTGGTAAAGAGAAATGGTGGTGTGTTCATAAGATGTCTGTCTTTGAACAGTTTGTTAAGGCTTATTCTTCCTATTCTAATTGAAAGTTCAGGTTCCCTTACTTTTTTAAGAGTATATATAAGAGTATACCTTCACCTAAAAGGTATTTGCTACCTCCACATCAGTCACAACCTTAGTGTTGTACTTCTACTCAGCATTTAGAGATGAATAATGGGGAGTCAGAAGTAAAATATCACTTTCGGAATAACAATATCAGCACAAGTAATTCTTATTGCTTTGTACAGAGTTTGGTTACATCTGGGAACAGCAATACGTAGGCCATCCTAAATGTTTTATATCTAATTCTTATCTCGTGTGTTTTTTTATGAACAATACTGGCCTAGTTCGTTTCAGAAAGGTACCCTACTCCTTCTTCAAGGGGTGGTTTCGGATAGAGCTGTACCTTATTTATGTAACTACTAAACAATTTCGGGTTTCTTGCCCAATTTCGATGTTTCTCACTTCAGTTACTTATTGATACCAGGAAGTATTTAATATTGAAAGAAGTAAATACTGTGTTGTGTATGTCACGAAGGATATGTGGAAGACGAGTTTCACTTTCTCTTAATCTGTGCCTCTATAGCCAGTTACCCACAAAGTATTACGTACATCCTTCTAAATCTCAGTTTAATATCTTTATGTCAATAATTGTACCCTAATTAAGAATATAGCAATGTATATATATCATTAAATGTCACTCCGTAGAACACTAACATGAATGTCAACATTTGATCGAATAGTGTACCACTGTAACACTCGTCTATGACATGTAGTTAATGTATGTAGTTTTGGGCCGGTGGCCTACACTGACGGAATATAGAATTGGGTTAATACTATCAGCACAATCCGTACTTTGAACTGTTTGTAAAATCCACTCTGTCGTTTGAACTTGTGCACATAATCATTGAAAGACTGGCTGTCGCACAGTGTCGTGTTGGCTCTGTGATCCCAGGCATCCACAATGGATGACGATGTATGGGCAACAGAAGACGCCAGCAGTCCTAAGTGGGAGGTAACTGCCATGTTGTCCGTTGATGTTGCGGATGATGACACAGTTCCGGAGACACCACTCCCTTTGTGGTCCTACTTGAGGTGTCGCATCATCTCGAACCCCAGTCAGATACAGAGATATGGTCTCATACCCGGTGTCTATGGGGTCTGACTCTTCATCTGAATTGACTGATAAATGGAATGTTGAACAAAGGAGATCACGATCATATTTCTTCACATGAAACTTATAAACAAGCTTCTACATAAGCCTTATGTACCTTTACAGACTTAACTAAGGCTAAGGATGAAATAAATAAATGTCCGTGAGATGTCTATTTTCTAATAACGTTTTATCGAGCATGGTATGAGCTTCGGCATTAGCAAACTTATAAAGTAAGAAAGATCATTCCTTACACGAGTAAGATGCTTGCCTGGGCCTTATTTCAAAAGAATAATTTGTTGATTGGGTATTCTTACAACATCCGCAAAATTCCTTGCTGCTCTTTCCTCTACCTCGGTGGGGCCTGCAGGTAGAAACGTTATAGTTGAATACAAAACTACCTCTTGATATTCTTTGGGTGTTGTGACATTAATAATATATTTGTCAATTCAACATATAACGTTTTGTATTATGTTTTGTATGTATTCTGCGCGTTTAGTAACTAATGTAAAACTGGGCGTTTGACCCGCATTTACCGATACAAAACAAGGAAATGTTTAGATAAAGATTAATTATTGCACAAATAGTTTCTACATGTGAAATATTAGTGGTATTTCTTAAAACATAACTCAGAATGACACGTGCGTGTTTAAAAAAATGCTTGTTCTGTCACGCAGAGGAAGACATTCTATAGATAATACTTGCAGCAGGATGTACAATTACCTGCACTTTACGATGAGAAGAATTACAGTTAACACAACTGACACCGGAAGGAGAGACATCAAAGCGTAGAACACAACCGTCTTTGTGGAACCTTGTTATAAACAACACAAACACAAGTTTTACTATCTTTAACATATTCATAAAAATACGAATGTTTCACGGAAATGAAAATTACTTTTGCAATTGTCATGGAAGTTATAGTTTAACGTTTGAGAGTACCATACACTTATCTCACCTTCACAAGTCTCCCCGATCCAACCCGCAACACACTTGGAGCACGCGCCACTTTTCTGGTCGCATATACTGCAGCGTTTTGAACATCTTAACGAACAGTTGTTACCATGGTAACCTGATATGCAGCCAGATACGCATGTACCGGTGTTATTGCATTTCCTGTCAAAACAGTTCATGCTACAGTTTTTCTCACAGTTATGCCCATAAGTATTCTGTTTACATTCCATGCACAATCCTGATGATCTGTTACATCGGAGGCAGTCTTCATCACAAGGATGCTCACAATATTTCCCCCAGAAGCCAGCAATACATCCGATGGAACATTCCAGTCCAGATCGGTTCCGGCACTGGCGTTCCATACAGGTACTGCTACAGGGCTGGTCACATGATATTCCATACATCGTGGGAACACAGCCCAACGAACACTCACCGGTTGATTGGTCACATATGGATGACAGACAACCACTGTTGCAAGACACGCTGCAATAGTCACCATGGTAACCGTCTTTACAGCCATCTGTACATTTACCGTCACTGAATCTGCATTTACTTCTGCATTTGTCGCAGACAATACACTTGTGTCCGTACCGACCGTCTGTACACGTTGTGCAATTGTCTCCATATTGTACACAGCTCTTGCAGTGTTTGGGACACGTTTTGTAACAAGTGTCACCTTGAAATCCCTCGGTGCAGTTGTGACACTTTCCGTTTTGGTGACATCTCCCACCGAGACAGTTTACAGAACAAGTCATGTCACAGTACTTCCCATAAAATCCAGATTGACACCCATCCACACATTCTCCACTTTTCATCTTACAATTCTGGAAGCAATTCTCTGGGCAAGCATCTTCACACATGTCTCCATAGGTTCCGTTCTGGCAGCCAAGGTAGCAGGTCCCGTTCCTGAAACATCTACCCAGAAGACAGTTGCTGCTACAACTCTCACTGCATGAAGGTCCATACCAGGGCGATGTTACTGAATTTACATAAGTGTCCACACACCCGTATTTACAGGCTCCAGTAGAGTAGTAGCAGTATCCCAGCTCGCAGTGCTGGTTGCAGGTCCTGTTACAACTGCCTTCTCCATAAAATCCCCGTTTACAAGTGACACAACTTGTGTCTTTACAGTTGTCTTCAAGGTTAAACCATGTGTCCACAGCGTTCGTGGATGGCGAAGTCCCAGGAGCTGAACCTAGAATGATTCAAAGTGTTCATTGGCATATTTTGTAGGCATACAATTACCCCATTTCACCTCGATTCCCATTTTTGTGGTCCGACAAGCATGGTGTGCTTGTGAGTTATTCAGCCGGGCCCCTGGGGTGATACTTTCGGAACAGGGAGTGCTGTGTTGTCCCTATAATTACCGTAAAGCGTCAAATATCAACTTGAAATTTGTAACTGAGTAATTCTTGGCTCAGGCATCTAGAATCCTATCACAGAGCATGATAAGTAAAACTATCCCTTTGGTTTCGTACCAAAATATTTAATGTCGCCAGAAAAAGTGCAGCTAAAAATACTACTTTAAAGGATATTCCGCTGTAATTTCTCTGAATGTTAGGAATGTATCATCGTGCTGTTATCAGATCATTGATGAATTTTATAGTTGCGCTTAGGTAATGCTTGTGAATAGTTGGTTGACGTCCAGTCTGGATATCATCGTTTTCCCATATATACCCTGTTAGTAATTCTGCGCTGCAGTTTGTTTGCAGGGACTGCATGATTCATGAACATCGTACCCGAAAGGGCTTTCCGATTTTAGGTATGAGCTTTATTCTTAAATATTTAGAAGCCATTTTTATTGGATGCAAGTTGCGTAGTGGGATTATTATAAGTTTCGTAATTTGAGCAAAAATTCTCCGTATCATCGTTATCTGGTTTTTGAGCTTGTATTGTTCCAAATTGCGCAATGTCATGTGGTACCTTCAGTCCTCCGTCTTTATGTTTCAACAATAGAAGTACTTTTTATCTAATCGGGTTTGCTCTTCTAAATGAAATTGAAACATTTTTTAGTTTTGCAATAGTGCCCATATTTGGATGGTATTGTTTTATACGGTGTGGTCAACGACAGGTACGGATTACTGGTTAGGTATTCATCCGGGATCCTCTTTTTAGCCAGTCAGAATCAAGAAATCGTCACTGTCACGGTACAGTTAAAGTGAATTCATTTCCTCTTACTTAACAACATACATATGAGTACAGATTCCATGTATATTATATGCAATATATAACAATTTAAACAGTGTATGAAATAAGCCAAAAACCCAGCCAGACATCTGGGCTGGTAACTTCAAAAACTTACCAGCCCAGAAGAGATTTAACCAGTCCTTCTTAAATACTAAATAGACAGTGCCAGTGGACATGTTATCTGAAAACAAAATTCACAATTCCATCGGGCTGGCTAGCTGTAAAATTAGACCGTCCGGCAGAAATCTAGCCCATCTCGGGCGGTCGGACGGGCCTTACTTCATACACTGATTTAAACCTCGTTACTATAACGACTGAAGACATTCCGAGTACATATGTCATGTGAGTAATGAGAAACTCACCGATTACACTCGGAATTTTCTTCTTGAAAGACGTACTCAAAATAACCAGCAGTATCCATCCTTTGAGCTGCAATATATAAGGAACATCTACGAAAAGATTTTTAACACATTTCCAGTTTACACCGACATTTCCCATTCTGTCTGAGAGAGTTATGAAACCAAAGGCGTCGTTCTGCACAGCAAACTTGAGGCTACGACTGTCTAAAGTTTCTTGTGCTAGACATTATAACAACGATGTATGTGCAGAGCATATTGCGCAACAACAGACGCTGACTTCAACTTCACACAACCCAAATACTGAAGATCTTCCGTAAGTCGGCAAACTGTATACATGTACGTAGAAAATATAACGGTCGTATTGACTGGATGGTGTGTCATTAATTTGTGTTGTCAACATGATCGACAATATAGTTTAACAGTCGCTTTACATTACAGGGTATTGGGGATTTTTTGTTTTTTTAGGGGTTTCTTTTTTATTAATGTGTCTTTTAATGGTAATACCACACCATCACATAACATGACGATTCACACATACATACCGAAGGAGTCATTGTTGTAGATGCAGCAATTACGTTGTGACGTGTAGTTACTTGCGCCGCATGAACTCTTTCAGATTGGCCATGAAGAAAATACAGAAAGAGAAATAGCTGTATCATAATATCTTTACCTCTATTAGCGCACATGTATAATTAACAAGTAATGGTCCTGTGCTTTTATCAGTTATATACACGTGTCCGTAACTTGTAATGCTCCTAAGCTGTTATCAGTTACATACACGTGTCGGTAACTTGTAATGGCACTATGCCGTTATCAGTTACATACACGTCTCAGTAACGTGTAATGGTCTTATGCCGTTATCAGTTATATACACGTGTCAGTAACTTGTAATGCTCCTATGCTGTTATCAGTTACATACACGTGTCAGTAACTTGTAATGGCACTATGTTGTTATCAGTTATATACACGTGTCAGTAACTTGTAATGGTACTATGCTGTTATCAGTTATATACACGTGTCAGTAACTTGTAATGGTACTATGCTGTTATCAGTTATACACGTGTCAGTAACTTGCAAAGGTACTATGCTGTTATCAGTTATATACACGTGTCCGTAACTTGTAATGGTACTATGCTGTTATCAGTTATATACACGTGTCAGTAACTTGTAATGGTACTATGGTGTTATCAGTTATACACGTCTCAGTAACTTGTAATGGTCCTATGCTGTTATCAGTTACATACACGTGTCAGTAACTTGTAATGGTCCTATGCTGTTATCAGTTATATACACGTGTCAGTAACTTGTAATGGTACTATGCTGTTATCAGTTATATACACGTGTCAGTAACTTGTAATGGTACTATGCTGTTATCAGTTATATACACGTGTCAGTAACTTGTAATGGTACTATGCTGTTATCAGTTATATACACGTGTCAGTAACTTGTAATGGTACTATGCTGTTATCAGTTATAACAGTCACTATGCTGTATACATGC